AAGAGCACGTTAGGATATGTTTTTTTGTTAAGTTCATGAGCTCTATCATGGTCATCTAAAAAACAGCCAATAGTAAGTTTGTCCACTATTGAAACAGAATTCATTGTTGTAGCATCATGTGCTTGTCAGGCCATTTGGTTGAAAAGAGTGTTAATAACACTGGATCAGACTCAAGACAAAACAATTACTATTCCTTGCAATAGTAGTTCTACAATTAAACTCTCAAAAAATCTAGTCTTGCATGGTCACAGTAAGCATATAGATGTTCGTTTTCATTTTCTTCGAGAACTCACTCAGGCTGGTATAATAAAGCTATTTCATTGCAGCACTCTAGAACAATTAACTGATGTGATGACAAACCCACTCAAGTTGGATGATTTCTTGAAGCTACGAAGCTTGCTAGGAGTTTGTGCTGAGAATGATATAAATTAAATGCTTTTAGCATTCAGTTTAAGGGAGGAATTGTTAGGACTCAATCAATATTGTTAAGATTTAGTTTGTAACTAAATCCCTGTTTTCATGGGATATTTATTGCTTGCTTTTTAGAAGTTTGTTAGCAGTAGGTTGCTTATTTTTCTATGTTCAGTTTGCTGCGTAAAAGCTATATATAGCCCAAATCGTTTTTAATTCAATAAGTACTTTTCCTTCCAAAAACTCATTTCTTTCTTGTTTAACTTTCACAAAGGAAAGGCATAAGGAAAAATAAGTTTGTTGCGTATATTTTCCTGTGTAATGAAAGGTTTATGTCTATAGACTCGGAACAATATACAATGAAACAATTAAATTTTTAAATTAAACCAGATCATTGTTATTTAATTTCAACAGTCACACCTGTTAATAAATCCATTTCAAAAAAATAAAAGACAAAATAAATAAATTAATTTTAAAAAATAAAAATTAATTAAAAAACAATTAATCTAATTGGCAATTTTAATGTCAATTGCTAATATTTTACTATCATAAAAATCCATATATTAGATGCACCAAATAGCTTATTTGGAGGATCCTTGAATTATTGCACTCGTTTAATTTATTATACTATTAAAGTTCATCCTTATAAATACTTTAACAAAAACATTTCTTTCCGATGTGATTTGTGATAAATTCTATTGCATTACAAATCACATTAACAACACAAGAACCGTAAAGATCATAATATTAAAATGCGAGGGAGTAATTGACCAATTTTATAAACACAAATGGTGCACAATCGAACCAGCAAGAAGGGGAGAAAGATAAGCATATTTGACGTCTTTCCCTAGATGATCCATTTTTCAATCGAGCTACTTATTCGAACCTTTTTTTTTTTTTTGGGGGGTGGGGATCTTAGGGAAAGTGGTGAGGGTGGCAAAAATTAAGAGGCAACACTTCAGGTGATATAATTAGAAATCATGTTTTGGATGGCGACACTGGCACCATCTGAATTGACTCTGATAACTTTCATCGTATATACATATTTTTTCCTTTGCAGTCAGAAGAAGGTTGCTTTGAACGATGAGCTGAAGTAGGAGGGCGATATGTAAGCTGCAGAAGAGGTATTAATCCATGTTAACTGACAAAGGAATGTATTTTTCTTTTTGCCCAAAAAAACAAAATACCGGAGGGTGTGCTTGCCCATGTACGTGCACTTCTTTGAATCACGATAACATGGTTATTTATATTTGTATTATTCTCATTGTAATTGCTTTGTTGATATTCAAATGCATTGTATTCAAGTTATAAACTATTAATACTGTATTATAATAACGTATTTTATGACTCAATAACTCAACTAATTATCTTGTAATTATATTAATTATTAATATTACCGTAACGACAAAAAAATAAATTGTTAACTCAAAAGAAAAATATATATTATTTATTTTGTAACAAATAAATGATTATGAACTTTCAAATATATTGATTTAATGCACCATAAAAAAAATTTTTTTTGGTAATCTAGTTAATTTTTATGGAATTATGATAGTTATGAAAAATTAAGCATAAATTTAATAAAAAAATATTGTTATCTGGAGAAGAAAAAAAATTTTTAATTGTAAAAAAAAATCATTTTTAAGTAAGTATGAATAATAAATATTTACACTTAACATTATATTATTATTTTATAAATTTAAAAGCACCAAGCCCAAAAATATGTCTACCACTGAAAAATCATGTTTCTTTTTATGTTGGAGTCTAATATTTTATTATACAATCTTCATTCGTTTATAAACAAAACTGTCACCCATGTAACAACGTAATTAGTAATAAATTAAGCACCAGCCCAAAAAACCCTGCTAGAATGGTCTGATTTTGAGGTTCTTTTTCATCCTTGAAAAACTATAATATTCTTTTTTAAAAAAAGAGTTAAGTATTCTCATTCTTGATAAATAGTTTAATAAAATTAATTAATTAGTTCTCATATTTTAGAAGTTATATATTCAATTCTTATATTAAAAAAATATATATACAACCGAGTACTTATTTCAAGTTTATAAACGCTTTCAATTTATTTATTTTTACTTAAAAAAGAACCTAAATTATTTTTATCATAAATAATGATTTTTTTAGAAGAAAAAATTACTAAATTAAAGTTGATCGGCTGATCAATAAACTATTGATCAATCATCTATCATAATACAAGGAGAAAGTAATCAATTTTAATAACCTACAAGAAAAAATTAAGTTATGTTTAACTCTTTAGGTTGTGTTTGTTCCCCCATCGTGTAATTAACAAAATCCAGTTCTGCTGCAAGCCTTGCCACTTTTATTTTATTTTATTTTTTACTTTTTTCAGAAGAATGGGTTTGCAAATATTTAAGTAGATACCCCATATAAAACATCACATCCATTGCACTACACATGCATGAATGGAATATCCCATCGCATTCGTGATGAGGTTAAAACTTGAGATATCTTCACATTTCGAATTTTCCTACGCTAGTTCTAGGATTCTAACTTAACGTTATCTATTGAACTGAAAAACCCACCAATCACACAAGAAGATTGAAAAAAAAATTACATGTTGACAAATATTTAACCATGGTTAAATGTTTATTACAGTTTAGTGACAATTTAACTATGGCTATTTCCTTTCTGTCCAAAACATGATTAAGTTTGTTTTTTTTTTCTTTGTAATTCCACTGACCATAGGTTCATTGGTAGTGGTTAATTGTTAATGATCCTTGTAGTAAATATAAACCCTAAACCTATTTTTTAAAAAAATTTTCATATATTACTTTGTCCGAAAAAAATCAACATTTTCTTAACCCTTTTTGTATGAAAAAAGGTGCTATTTTCCTCATTTACTTAGGTTTTTTCGGGTTTTTATTTTAAATTTTATGCAGCATAAGAGTCCTTTTAACGAAGAGGTTAGCACTCGAACTTCAAAAAACTCTCGTTTATTGATAAAATCAATACCCATATAAGCCTATGAACCCTCGGCGAGTAGTTTATTTGATATTCAAAAGTAAGGCACTGAGTTGGTTGGGATGAGAACTTTTATGATACTTAGTAACTAATAATATTTTTATGGGTTTATTGAGAGGAGAGAGATGAATATAAAAAAGAAACAAAAATACAATTGAATTTATCAAAAGTTATAAAAAATATTTTTATTTAAGTTTTTTTTAATTATTTTATGTCTATCTTTATGGTATAAATTAAGTATTGTAACTAATAATATATATATATTTGAAAATTATCATTACAAAACATATGCATCCAATTTAATTTCCATAATTTCACGTCTGGCACAAAATCACAACTTAAAAATCTGAAAGTAAAGGATATGAATTTTAAATAAAAACCTTAAAACTACCATTCTCATCTTCTAGAAATAACAATTAAATTCATGCTATGCATTTATTTAACCTCTTAAAAATTCAAATGACATGCACCGACTCCATAAAGATCTTTCTTTCTTTCCTTTTTTTTTTCTCCTTAAAAACAAGAAATTCTTTTTTACCCGTAAAAATAATTTTAATTGTAAACCTAAAATCAGTTTCTTATATAGTTTTGAGGAGTTTGTAATAATATACATTGACAAAAAATATATATTTTTTTAAATAAAAACATCAGGCTGGGGAACCGATGATCCTACCCCATGTTAAATTAAACTAAATCAATTTTCTGATTCCACGTCAAAATAGATAAAAACCTGATCTAATCAAAGCGAGTGATAACAAACGGGATCATTGTTCAAATCTTATACGAGATCACCAAAAAAAAAAACCTTATAAATACAACGATCTGGATGTTGATGGACTTCTTAGAATCTGATCTAAGAGAAACTTAATTTCAATGTATGGAAAAATTAGCTCAGTGATATCCCTGCACCAAATATATATATATATATATATATATTCATAATTTTTTTAATGGTTCATTGGTTGAGAAGGGAGGCTATAAGTTATGAGAATCTGGTTCAGATTTCATATCCCGTAATATGCAAGAATCCTCCTTTTTCCTAATTTGAAAATTCACAGTTGTATGGAGCTAGCTACTAACCCGTCCGTTTCCATCTGAAATGCACACCTTCATCATCAAAAAACGATTTCCATATTTATATAAAGAGTTCTACCATAGTTTTTGTATTTTTGTCCTTCTGAGTGGTCCCGATGATGCTCATGGGCCATGATGCCTTAATCTAATAGAGATGGTGCATAGATAGATGTACTTAAGATACGAAAGAGAGAAACAGAATGATACAGATTACTAATATCAGGGCAAAAAAAAGGAAAAGAAAAAAAGAGGGAGATTTTCACTCTCCAAGTCCAAGCCCGCTTGTTTCACTTCAAAACCCTATCTCCAAGTCTCTCTGTTTTCTTCTTTGTGTTATTTAAACAAACGGAGAAAAAACAAAAAAACACAAAAACCTCAAAAACCACTCCCCCACACGCAAACACAACAACTACTTCTCTCCCTTTTCTGGTGTCCGTCTTTATGTCTCCCTAGAAGTAATTGTAAACCACCACCACCACCACCACCACCATCAAAAAAAAAAACCCTAAAATATTGCCATGGATACTTACGAGATAACTAACATACTGTTAACGAAACTCAAGAGTTTAGATCCAGAAAACGCCTCTAGAATTATGGGTTTTATTCTCATACAAGACCCTACTGATAAAGATTTGTTATGCTTAGCCTTTGGCCCTGAAACCCTTTTGCAAAATGTAGTCTTTAAGGCTAAAATCCACTTTGGACTTTATACAAACACGTTATCTACACCCTCTTCCCCGTCGCCGCTCAATCCCATAGCAAGGCCTTGTAATAACACTAAACCTTTTTCACAATCCTCTCCTAGAATCACAAATAATGGTTCATTTCTTGATTATGCAAAAAACACGCCTCCAAATCCTTGGCCTGGTCATGGGTTGCCAAGTAATAGTAACAGTAACACTTCAATTAGCCCAAAGTCCAGTCCTTTTTTGTCCTATGATAATATACGTTCTGGTTCTGTTTTAGTGCCTCCATTCTCGAGCAACGGTGGCAATGGCGGTGGTGATAGTAGCAATAATGGTGTTGACTTTCCTGATGAGTATCAGTTAGATGATTATCTTTCGTTTCTTGATGACCCCTCTTCAAAAAATGAGGACTTTATGGACCAAAGGGTTCAATCTGGTGGTTATCTGGTTGCTAATGGAGATAGCCACTTGCATAGAAGGAGGTTTTCAGAGAGTGATGCGTGTTTTGGTGCTGAAGATGGGGGTTTTAGTCTTGGTTATAGGCCTTGTCTGTATTTTGCTAGAGGGTTTTGCAAGAATGGAGAAAGTTGCAAGTTTGCTCATGGTGGTGAAAATATGGTTGAGGTTAATGATGGTGGTGTTCTTGTGGGTTCACCAAGGGAAATGGAGGAATTTTATCTGCAGAAGCAAGATGAGATTATGAGAATGAAGGCTGCACAGCAACAGCAGCAGCAAAGGTTAGCTTATAACAAGTACATGAATTTTCTGTTGCAGCAACAGAATGAAGCGGAGAGGTATGTTCACGATTACTAATTTTGCTTTCATCATGCCTTATCTTGTATAACGTGTCAAGGTTTTCAATTTCAATCCGTTCCAGTGGTGGATTTTTGGTCTTAATTTGTTGTTTGTGTCAATTTGTGGGCATGATTGTTCAATCGAACAATCCCTTATTTTCATACAAGATGAGACCAAGGGTGTATTTCGATCCTTCAGTATGCTTTTATTGTTTATTTTCTGATTGGTCAAAGAAAGAAAGAGGTTTTTTTTTCGTCGAGGGAGGTAGAGAAAAAGTAGTCACAGTGAGTATATAAAGAAAGGAAAAAAGATTAGAGAGAAACAGATCTTTTTAATCAAGCTAGTTTTGGTTTTGGAATAGTTCCTTTTTTCGTTGAGGGAGGTAGAGAAAAAATAGTCGCAGGGAGTATATCAAGAAAGGAAAAAGATTAGAGAGAAACCAATCTTTTTTAATTGAGCTAGTTTTAGTTCTGGATTAGTTCCTTTTCTTGTCTCGATATTTTTCTAGTCTAAATGCATGACTTGATGGAACTCATTATGTGTATGTTTTTTCTGTTTATTGATAAACACTTTTTTCTTTTGAATTTGACATTGTTATCTTACTTCTGGGTTGGGTAATGGTGCTGTTTGTGGATGTTTGGTATTTGCAGATTGGGTGCAGCAGCAGCTATGGTGGGTGATGAATTTTACAAGCTTGGCCGGTTCCGTAATGGAAGAAATGACTTTTTTGCTACGGGAATGGCTGAAAAGGCAAATTCGGCATCCAGACAGATATACTTGACATTCCCAGCTGACAGCTCTTTCAAAGATGAAGATGTTTCAAATTATTTCAGGTAAATTACCACTTTTCAGCTGCTCTTCTCAAGGGATCAATTCTGTTATTATTATCAGTTTACTTCTTGTTGCTTCTGCAAGTAGTACCTTGTGGTTAAGTGCTAGGAACTGATTACATTGCCTGCAAAACTATGAAAACGTGCTTATGCCAATGAAATTAAACACAATTTATGAAGTGTGCATGCTGGAAATTCCTAGTGTTAAGTGAAGACTATTCGTAAACTTTATGCCTGCCAATTGTCACTAACTTTTCTTGGTTTGAGGGACTACTGTTGCGGTCAGTGCATTCCTCTGACTTGATGATAAGTGAGGGCTTGATGCCATAGTATCTTAAGACTTCCACTTACAATTTCAATCTTTTTCAATACAATGACCTATTTTCAATCCATGTTGCATTTAAGTTGTGGTAGAAAATGAAGTTTGTTTGCATGGTTTTTATCTCAAGAAAGTTGCTGACAGTTCCCAATGGATATTGGCTTGCGCCTTGTGTTATCTTAAGCTATGCGTGTCAGTGTCAAAAGTCTCCATGCTACATTTGGTTCTTATATCTAAATAGCAGCTTAATAGCATTGTCCAGGTGCTTTCATAATTTGCTTGGCTTCTTTCTATCATGTTTGCTTGTATAAAAAAAATTGCACTCAATAGTTTTCTGGAAAGATGTACATCTGAGCTACATTTGTCATTACATTGGCTAGAGATACATGAGCACCAGACATTCATGCTTATCTGGGGAAAAAAAAGGGAAAAGCTGTTAGTCTATTTGAAGAAGGAAAGAAGAATATATTGCTAAGCTATGGAGGTGAGAGTTTGAAGACTATGCCGATTTGTTTGTAGTCCTGTTATGGAGTTGAAGGGATAGGATCTAGAATTTGAGTCTCTTGACTGTTCTTGATTAATTGGAGAATTTAAATAGTGATTGTTATTTGTATTTAGTCTGATATACAGCTCTCTTCACTAGAAATTTTTGAAACTTGATTCTGGAAGAGACAAAAAATTGTGATATATATTGCTTTATTCCTGGTTGCTGAGGCTACTCTTGAGTAATGTAATTAAAATAATTTCTTTTTATGTTTTTGAAGTTCTTTTGGACCTGTTCAAGATGTCAGGATTCCATATCAGCAGAAGCGAATGTTTGGATTTGTTACTTTTGTTCACCCAGAGACTGTGAAGGAAATATTGGCAAAGGGAAACCCTCATTATATCTGTGAGTCACGTGTGCTTGTCAAGCCATACAAGGAGAAAGGAAAAGTAGCAAACAAGTATGGTATCATTTTCTCTGTTACTGTTTTTTGAACTGTACCCCTTCTGGCATTTATGGTTTATACTTGTCAATGAAACAACAGCAGGACGCAACAGTTCCTGGAGAGGGGAAATTTTTCACCTACTTCAAGCCCTTCAGGTTTTGATCCTAGAGAGCTATGTGATCTTCACCTGGGTAAGTAAAACATAAACAAGCAAGCGTGAAATTTTCAAGAGTGTTTTGGAATATATTTATTTTCTTTCTCTTCAATTTTTCCTTTTTCAAATCACGTGTTTCTGGAATTATCTTTATTTAATTTCTCTTTCTTCTACAGGACCAAGAATGCTTCACAATACACCAGAAATGATGCTGAGAAGGAAATTGGAGGAGCAGGCAGAGCTGCACCAAGCTATTGAACTTCAGGGGAGAAGGTTAATTAATCTGCAACTTCCAGACTTGAGAGGAGATTATGTACATCGTCACCAGCGTAGTCTGTCTGTTGGCGCTCCTAATTCCCTGCCCACTCATCATACTCCCATCGATCAAACTGATATTCTTAGCTCTGATGGCAAGAATGGGATAGCATTAGAAGGTTAGTGTTTTAAACATATTATGTCAAAGATGGAGAAGCTTTGCCGCTACTAATGTAACTTCTAATGGCAGACAATGGGAATTGCTCAGGTGCCACTAAATCTATTATTGCTGCTGTTGAACAGAATCTTCAGGATGAAGTGAATGCAGCAGCTTGGATTCAGAACAATGACACTGTTAGTTGCAAGGTGGAGAGCTTCACTGAAAGGTATCGAATTGCAGATTCAAGAAGGTTTGTTATCAAAATGCATGTGTTTATTTATTATTATTATTTTTTTTTGTATCAAGCTTCTTTAGATCTTAATTTCCCCTCTTTTCCTTCTTGTTTGGTATTTTGTAGCCATGGAAGCAACCTGGAAAATGAAAGCCTGACAAAATCATCTCAGAATCATCATCCTGACATGTCCCCTTCTCGGGCCGAAGTTAAAGAAAGCAAGGAGTTATCCGTCTCTTCATGTTTTGAAAATGATGTGTCAGTGCCCACCACTGCTACCAGCGTAGAGGCGTCTCATTGAGTTCCCAAGTGCCAAGGTGCTACCTCCTTGCTATGATTTGATTCAATTGCAAGAGAACTAGAGTAGGTTATTTCTAACAGACAGTTATTATTATTATTATTTTTTTCTGATTGGTTTTTATTTTGGATATGTAGCTAATGCTTTGTAGTTAATGAAGATTAGTATGGCCAAAGAGATTAACTTTACTAGGGTAAGGCATCATTCCTCCATTTGAATTCTTCTGTTACAGATGTATAAGATTAGTTAATATTCTTCATGATGTCGGGTTGTTTTTGTTTGTCCATGCAGAAAAATAGAGAAGAAGCACATAGAAGGAAGAAAGATCCTGTAGATGTATAGCCTATATGATACCTGCACTTAATGGTAGATCTGCAGAGACTGCCTCAGTTAGATTGCCATCCTTGTCATCAATACGATACTACTAACAGCAACTGCATATTACATACGTAGTGGACGGACGAACTAGTTTGAGTAGGGTTTTCTCTTTGCTACTTCTTCCCCTTTTGTAGGTTGTGTGCTGGAAAACAGACTATAGCTGGACTTTAAATATCATTCCTCGTGTTATAATGACTATCTATACATGTTTACAATCTTTCACCGTCCTTGTCTTATGATTGTCGGACGCTAAGTAGACTTTTAAACGGTGTCCAGAAGCTTAGAATTCAATGCTTAGCTATCATGCTGATTAGGATATGCAAGAAAAAATTGGTTCCGTTTTAATGGTTGGTGCACGGGTCTTGCGAATCGTACTTCAATTTTTATCCACTTTGGGATCATCAATGAAAGTAAAAACCAGAGAAAGAGGAGGCTTGAAAAAAGTGAGGGTGAAATTTGCTTCTTTTTTCTTCTTCTCATTCAGATGATCAAGGCACTCTTTTAGGGGACTTTTTTGTCTCATTTTATTTCTTTAGGTCCACAAGTGGGGAAAGGGCCACTCTTGTCACATGGGTGCTGACAATGTGTAAAGATGCCGCAGGGTATACCACTCATTTACTTTTCAGCTTTGTTGAAAATGTTTGCTGTTAATTCTCATGGTCAATTAATACGAAATCCCTAATGTGCTGGCAATGTTTTGTACAATTTGGCAGTTATGCATGTGCTTCGGTTATTGCTGCCTCTCACTTGTCATCAGATTTTTGCCTTCTCGCATTAGCCCCATGTGACTATCCACCTGAATATCCAGTCAATAACACCAACATATAGAGTAGGATTGTGGACAACTGCGGCCGTATAGCATGCATGGTTTAACTACCACCATTGAAGTCTTTTAAACTGAGGAATTGCAGTTGGCCTAGATTTGCGACAAAAGTATCAAGCCAGTTTAATTTTCCATGATTGAACAAATTGTCTCCAATCTCCATCAGGTTAGGCCCCAGTTTTTTTCCCCGCGTAGGATCATGTCTGGATTTTGTTGGCAATAGTTTTTTTCTCCAACGTGCACATAGAAACTTATGAACCACAGTAGTTGACTAGTCGATATCAATTTAATGATTTACACAGATATCTTGTCCTTTAGTTATTTTATGATGTTAACACTTCCTGTTTATGTAATTTAGTTTCCCGCTTTTGGTACGGTTATATTACTCCATCAAAATATCTTCTTCTTTTTTTTTTTTTCCTTCTATTGTAAATGAGGATAATTTAAAGGGGTCTTGGCCATCTTCTAACTGTTCAGGTTCTCTTACTAACCTCGATTTTGTCTTAGTTGCATAAATCACCTGCCTTTCATTGTCATAAAAGAAAATAAAAGAAAAAAATAAAGTTACTAAACATTGCAGGATGATACTCTTTTAATTACGTCAACCATAGAATACAATGATTGATAAAAAGAGAGATGTGACAAAAATGAAAAAGATGCTATTTATTACTGTGTAATCCAAGAGTCAATGAGTCTTCAAGCGGGGCTAATATTTTCATGAAAAATGGACTTTCAATATATTTTTCTTGTATGAAAATGACTTTACATCATTTGAAGAGAGAAAAATCAAGCATTGTCCAAATGAAAAAAGAAAAATGATCCAAATTAGGCAGCGATGAACCAGAAGAATGCAACCTAACTCGTGCCCACCTGACAGCAGCACTAATAAGTGTGTTTGTCCAATCAATTGTGAAAAGAAAGATGGAAATTAGGCATGCAAACCAACTTTTCGGTGATGGTCTTGTTTTAGGAAGTAAAGTTCCATACCCCTATTATTGGAATTCATATTATGCCCAATATATTTCAATTAAATTTCTGATATAGTTGTAGCGGTGCAGCTACGAGTGATCGTTCAATTTTTTGGTTTAATTTTGGTTTTTTTTTTTTCGGTTTTCGATTAACCAAATTTACTAAAACAAAAGCTGAAACCAAATCGAACTGAGGTTTAGTTTTTTTGTTAAAAAATCAAAATTTTTGGTTCGATTTTCGATTAAAAACACACACACACACACACACACACACATATATATATATATATTACATTTTTCTCCCGAAAACCGAATTAATTTGCTTTTAAAAAATATCAAACTTGCATAGTAATTAAGTATCGTTTTCAATAGCGATTGACTTTTTTTATTTGTTTTTAAAGGGGATCACTTGTTTGGATTACAATTTACAAAAACATAAGTTAATTCACTTAATAACCACATCATAACTTTTATAGCAATTTAATTTTATAATTCGTTATCATGGTTATCATCCGTCGTTTGAATCTTATACTCCAATTAATAAATAGACCTTTCGCTATTTATTGAGCCACAACATAATCAAAGATTGCATATTTCACATTTGATTTTATAAGAATATTATGTAAGATTATTATTATTATTCAATAATAAATTTGTTTCTATTTATATTATAAACTAGATTGGTTGGGTTTCTCATTATTTTTTCAATCACACTACAATTGGTTTTTTTTTTTTTTTGTTAATTTTTCATATTTTTTTAACCTCTTTATTTTGTGCATATTTTATTGTTAAATAGATAATCTGAAAATTTTAATTTTTAATTTATGTTTGGTATAAGCATAAAAAGAGTGAAAAAATTATTATTGTTAGTTGTTATTAATGCTACTATGGTAAGGGTCAATTTTTTTAGGGGATATTTTTGTGCCAATTTTAATACAAGGAGACAATTTCTTTTCTATGAGGTCTTAGGATTCACCCACACATAAACTTGTATATTTATAAAGAATTACTTTATCACGGTCTTCTTTTTTTTAATTTGTTTGTGAGTCAATATAATATAATCAATTATTTTGTTATTTCAATAAATAATTAATGGAAAATATTTTTGTTTTAAGTAGAAAAAAAATCATTAAAGCTATTATTCTTTTGGTTAAACCCATAGGTGCCTTTTTATTTTTATTTTTATTTTTTAAAAAACTTGGGTATGTGTTTAAAAAAAAACACTAATTTGGTTTTCGATGGAAACCAAATTTTTTTAAAAAAATGAACCGAAATAATTTCGGTTTCATTTTTTTTAAATTTTTTTATAAAGCTGAATTGAAATTGCTAATTTGGTTTAGTTTGGTTCGATTTTTTGATTTTAGCCAAATAATACTTACCCCTAAGTGCAACATATCTATCTTAAGTACAAGCTAATACTCTTCCAAACAATAAATCCATCATCCATCAATATTCCATAGTATGAGTCGAATCCATCCAAACCTTACTAAAAATGATTTTTATAATTGCAAATATCTGTTTTTTTTTAAGTTATATTTACAAGTATGAAGATATTGATCAAGATCTTATTAGGGTTGATTGTGTTAGGTTATGTTAGCTACGAGTCGAAAAGAACCTATATTATTTTTTCAAGATGCTAGAGAATAATATAAATCATATTTTGAGACTTCATCTAATAACTTAAGCATTTGAGTTAAGATGATTCTTTGACATAGTATCATAAGATAGTGTGAGCCTATGTAAATTTCAAGTCCAAAAGGTTTTCATTTGAAGAGGTGTGTTAGAAAGGCTTTCACATAATGGCTCAATATATTCCAAACAATTCCAAATATAGCAGACGAGATCTATTTTAAGGACAAGCTCATACTAACAATTGGTCCATCGAGTATTTCACGAGTATGGGTCGAATCCATCTAAACCTCACTAAAAATGGTTTATATAATTGTACATATCTTTTTTTGGAGAACGCATTTTTTTATTGATTTTTTTTTAAAATTTATATGTACAAGCATGAGGATATTGATCAAGATATTATTGAGGTTGGTTGTGTTAGGTTATATCGGCTTTGAGTAAAAAAGAACCTATATATGTTTTTTTCGAAATGTTAGAGAATAATATAAATCATATTTTAGGACATCATTTAACACGTTAAGCATTTGAATTGAGATGATCTTTTGACATGGTGTCAAAGATATATTGACCAAATAGTCGAAGCTCAAATCTCATCACCTTCATTTTTCTTCTAATTAATTAAGCACAAGGTAGTGTGGGCCTATGCAAGTTTCAAGTCCAAAAAGCTTTCATTTGAGATAATGTGTTAGAGAGGCTTTAACATTATGGCCTAATATATTTCAAACAATTCCAAATAAAGAACCACATTTATCTTAAGGACAAGCCCATATGCTTCCAAACAATAGGTCCATCGGTATTCCATAATATGGGTTGAATCCATCTAAACCTCTCTAAAAATTATTTTTATAATTGCACATATCTTTTTTGGAGATGTTTTTTTTTATTGATTTTTTAAAAAATATATTTATAAGCATAAGGATATTGATCGAGATCTTATTGAAGTTAGTTGCGTTAGATTATATCGACTTTGAGTTAAAAAGAGCATATATTGTTTTTTCGAATGTTTGAGAATAATATAAATCATAATCAAAGACCTCATCTAACAATTTAAGCTTTTAGATTGAGATAGTTTTTTGACATAATATCGAGCTTTATTGAGCAAGTGGTCACGAGTTCAAATCTCATTACTCTTATGTCTTTTCCGATTAATTAGCACACTTGAGGAGGTGTATTAGAGAGGTTTTCACAATATGACCCAATATATTTCAAACCATTCCAAATATAGTTGCATTGGTGCAACATATTTGTTTTAAGGACAAGGCCATACATACTCTGTAGTATGGGCCGAATTTATTCAAACCTTGCTAAAAATGGTTTTTATAATTGCACATACCTTTTTTTGGAGAAAATTTTTTTTGTTGATATTTTTTTAAAATTTATAATTTCAAGCATGAGAATATTGATCAAGATCTTATTGGGGTTGGTTGTGTTAGGTTATGTCAACTCTAAGTTGAAAAGAACCTATATTGTTTTCTTAGAATGTTAAAGAATAATATAAATCATATTTTGAGACCTCATCTAATAGTTTAAACTTTTGGGTTGAAATGATCATTTGACTGATATGAAAGCTTTGTTGACTAAGTGGTCAAGAGATCAAATCTCACCACCATTCAAAGCCCAAATGACTTTCATTTGAGGGAATATATTAGAGAGTCATATAAATCATATCTTAGGATCTCACTTAATAGATTTTTACTTAAGGAGATGTGTTAGAGAGTCATATAAATTATATCTTGGGATCTCATCTAATTGTTTAATCTTTTGGTGAGATGGTTTTTGATTGGCAACATTTATAAATTAACCAACCATTAAAAGATGGTACATAAACTTTGAAACCCTTATTTTTTAAAGTTTTGACCACTTGTGACAAGCCTTATGGGGGGTTACCGTAGTTTAGAAAATTAGAAGAGTAACCGATGTAATTACAATAATGGAGACAATGTTCTGATTTCTCTAGAACACTTTTGGAGATATGAATCTGACACTCTTAAATCTTGTGATCACAGATGCAACGTTTAGCTAGTTGACAACACCTTTATGAAGTTGCTCTTTTGTTTTGCATTGCATGATATCAGCTTTATGCAAACACATGTTCTTGTCCTAGCCAAACAAGCACTATATTCTGATTCTTGATGGTACTGTAAGAGACTTGTGATGAGCCAGACTTTCACCTAAATGGCCTAGCAAATATCTCTACCAAAATCTACGGCTAGGATTTTGTTTCCATCAAAGGAAGATGCCCTCTTGTCATTGTTTTTGGATTTTGCCTCTCTGCTTCCCCATGTTCTACCTAGCTATATCTTCCATGATCAGTTATGCTTATATATAAAGTTGTTGTTCTATTTATTCAGGGGTCACACCATATCACACATTTTCGCAGTAAAGGGGCCACCATAAAGAAAGAAGACTACAGTTCTTGCTTGGATAACACAGCGAGGACACCTCCAAGGTCAGTCTACATGACATTATTGAAGAAGCTTCACTGTTTTGTTGAAATCGTGAAGCTCTATGTATAAAACCAAAGATCAGCACTTTATTAGCTTTTAATTTCTCTCCCTACCTCTTAATTAATGCCATTTAGAACTGCATGGAGCGAGATTACTTTGTTCTTTTTTTTTTTTTTGCCCGTTCAAAGTTTGCTGGTACACTAGTTATGTGTGATGGTTCCAAATGGAGGCCTTTGAGTTGATAAATGGGCTATGTGTCTACTAGGGGAATCCTTTCTCAACACGTTGGCGACATGCCCTAGCTAGGTCACTACATGGGCCAAGTCTTGAAAATCAATGAGATGCTCTTGTAGTAACAGTAGCTTCCATTTTGTTTTTCTCACCCCACAAGAGTTTTCTTCACTGACAAATAGTATTCAGTCCATTCATTAACTGGTAATTTCATACGACCTCAATGATCATATATTTGCTTTACTTTTCTGTGACTTAAGAAATTGCTTATCTTTTACACAATTGGTATTGCAGTACTGCTCTAAAAAGCTGCATGTAAATTTTATTTTGAGCAGTGATATGCACATGTAAACAGATAAAAGCACCATAACCATGGAAAAGCATGGTTTAAAACCAAACACAAAAAACAGATACATGATCAAATTGTAGAAAACCAGTAGTCATTGCGAGATCTTTCCTTTTTATGTCCATCTAACTTATCCACATTTTACGAGGAGTTTTTGACTGGATAATTGGGTATTGGACAAAGAGAAATTTATGGAGGCAGGACTCTTGAGATACATGCATTAACAAACAATATTACAGATATGATGGAGAAAATTGAAGACAATTAATTTAAGGAACATATATAGGGGGGAAAAAGGCTTGGAAACATGCATATTATATTATGCTATTTTTCTACTACTGGTAAATTCTTCAAGTTTGTTTCTTCAGGAATTAACTTAATTCTAGAGCATGGACAGCAGCAGTGGCACCTCAAACAATTCCTCCTCAGGTGCCTCTCTCTCTCTCTCTCTCTCGCTCTCTTTTTGACATTCAACAGGATGGCATGTTCTTTCATTAAATTTTCTTGCAATCTGTTTGTAATATCTGGTAACATATGAGTAATCTTTTTGGAAATGTAGGCAAAAACTCTTCCGGGCTGCAAGCACTACAGAAACAGCATGAAGAGCAAACCAGAAAGATTGAAAAGCTGAAGAGCCAAATTGATTCAGTGAAGCTTGATTTGGAGAAGAAAATGAAGGAACCTTCAGGGGATAAAAAAGAAGTTTTCAAGAGCTTGAGTGACAAATATAACAGCCTAAGAGAGGAATACAATGCTTTGTTAGCTGAAAAGTCTAGGGAATAGTTGCCGTTAGAGCTGTTTTAATATTGCATGCTTTTATAATTCCTTATCGTGAATGTAGCTGAAAACCTATGCACTAGATCGTTAAATTTGCTTCATGTTCTTCTTAACTTTAGTTTCCTATAAAGATCTCCGCATTCTGTTTCCGCTCTTTCGTATGCAATTGCAAACCGGGAGTCATTTAGCTAGTACCACATGGTTGCCTATCCTACAGTATCATTCTGTATTCCATCTTCATTACGTAGTTTATCACCACAATTTCATACGATGTGGTAATGGATTTGGACAGCAAATGAAGTGCTTTCCGAATCGAGTTTAGATTGGGAAAAACATCAAGTTGACGGAAAAACCAGTGTTTTTGATACGAGGACGTCAAAAAAAAAAAAAAAAAAAAAATGAAGGAAAATGATATCGGAAGCATCAAAACCTTATTATTTAAGCAGGACAATTAGTGCTCCTTTAAGCTTGTCAGAATTTAACTGATGGTAGCTTGCCAGTGAATTTAAATCACGAAATCAAATTTGTTTTTGAATCTAAACCAGGAAAGCGAAGATCAGCATCCTTGATTAAGCACGAGCATCTTAACTATTAAAGTAAATTATAAATTATTCTCTTTAGTTTCAAGAAACAAATTAATTAGTCTTTCTCATTTCAAAAAATATTATTTAATATTAATCATACTTAATTTAATATTATTTTTATTTCATAAAATTTATTATTTTCTCATCAATCTTTTCATATTTTTTTCCTTCTCTATTTCTTAAAACAAAAAATAAATTAAAAAATAATAATAATTAAATTACAAGTAGATTTAAAATATAGGAACTAAATAATTAATTTTTAAAATGAGAAGAACTAATTAATTTATTTTTTGAAACGAGAGGGACTAATTTATAATTTACTCCTTAACTATTTTTTCATCCAAGGGGGAAAAAAAAAATCCTGACTGAAATTATAACTACAATTACGTGGCAGTGAAAGCATCCCTGCAGTTGTATCTACTGGAAGAACGATGCTCTATCCAAATTTGGAGTGGCACAAGGCACACTAAAATAGTAAAATAAAGTTAAAAATGCCTTAAAAGCATCTCACGTACATGTGCAGTTATACCTTGCCTTTTCCACATGGCTGCCGAAAAACAATACCGTGAAAAGGTTTTGCAGCCGGAGTGGATCATACAGGAAGAGATTTTCCTCCCAAATCAGAAATAAACAACTCTCAATTGGTAAAAGTCTTTCTGCCATCAAAATTCTGTACATGCAATCTCAAAACTCATCAAAAGATCTACAGTAGGTCATCGCAACATGCTCGAAGCAACTAACAGCAGCTTTAGCATTGGTCTGAGTAGCTCATATTAGCATACAATGGACTTCTCAAATACGATGAGGAAATATTTCGACTTAATTCAGCTGAAGTTTGAAGTAGCCAACTACGCCTCCCATTTTATTGTTGGAGAAAAAGAATGTTTGGATGGCTTTTGAAGGGAAAAATAATGACACCACTGCCTGGTAACCTGAAAGGATTTTCAGTCACCAAAAAAAAGAACTATGATTTACGTGGTTTCTCAAGATCCATAATACTATCAATGTTTCTCTGGCATTGACCTTATGTTTTCAAAATCAAGAAGTTGCCAGTTTCAGAGTAACCATAATCCAAGCTCTGTATATCTTTCTTCCTGAACTTAAATCATGATTCTTGCCATCACATCAATATATCAACACAACAGCTCAATATCAACATAATACAGACGAGATTTGCATGGTCTAATCTACAAAAAATAGAATGTTAATTACTATCAAGTTTTATAACTATCTTGCATGCACATACATAATTAATTGCCTAAGCAATACTAGTAATTATCAAAGCTGAAAACTAGGTTTTTATTTCTCTTATTTTCTGTAAATTATCTCTCTCTTACTAGTGATTGGATCTATTGTTTCAATTTGGTTAATCTCACTTCGGATCGTACTTCGTGAATCCTGTGCTCTTGCAGCGTTTTGAAGATCAACAACTCTTGGGTCACGACTAGTCTCAGATGAGGGATTAACAGCTTCTCTGCCCACTTGATTGATAACCCATTGGTTGCCACTAGTCTCAGATGTGGAATTGACAGCTTCTGTGCCCACATGATTGTTGACTCTTATTCTTGCAGCAATTTGAAGATCAACAAGTCTTTGAGGATTAACGACTCTTGGGTCACGACTAGTCTCAGATGTGTAATTGACAGCTTCCCTGCCCACATGATTTTTAGTTCCTGGGCTTTGACGAGTCTCGACTGTGGCATTGACAGCTTCTCTGCCCACTAGATTGATAACTCTTGGGCTGCCTCTAGCCTCAGTTTTAGCATTGACAGCATCTCTGCCTAGTTGATTGATAACTCTTGGGCTGCGACTAGTCTCAGATGTGGCCTTGACAACTTCTCTGCGCACATGATTGTTAACTCTTGCGCTGGTACTAGTCTCAGATATGGCATTGCCAGCTTCTTTTATGCCCGCATGGCTAATAACTCCTGGATCACGACTTGTTCCAGACGAGGCATTGACACTATTACTCCCTGAAAAATATTCATGTCACAAAAACAAATTGATGTTCAGCTTCTTATTGCTTGATAAAAGAAGAGGATAGCAATATCATTAGAAATAGAAAAAGCAACATCCCGGAGGAAAAACCAAGCACAATATCAGAAAGACCAAACAAAGTTGTTAAAAATTACAATCAAACTGGAAAAAAAAAAGAAAAAAAGTAACAAGTTTTATAGGAGCTCCTACCAAAGCATTGACCCATGAGTTTAAAGTATAAACAAGTAGCACCTAAGTGTCTTTAGGGTTTAATCAGTAGCTGTATCTTTATACAATACATGAAATTTTTACACATGAACGACATAGGAAAATAGTAACACATGACAATATAGGAAAGTATTAACACATGACAATATAGGGAAAAAAATAAAAATCAGGAGTACTGCTAACTCAGGAAGTTCTAGGAATTACCACCACTGAAACAATCGAGAACCAATTTGCTTGGTTGCTCTAAATCTAACAGCCTCTGATCATGACGTGTGACTGGAGATCAACTTCGTCTGGCCACATACTCAAGGGATGATCTTAATGGTAAACTCGAGAGTCATAATTTCATGAACTTTACAGTGCATATATGATACATATACCACCTACCTGCTCCCTCACAAATTATCTCTGTTGTTTATTTTGATGTTGATTGGATTTGAATAGCTTCTTATTTGACTGTAAGGGTATTGTACATCGATCAATCTTAACAACGCACCCACCACATCGGCACATATATTTTTTATTCATTCCAATGGGTGGATTCTCAAATGGTTTGCTCGAGTTTCAATACCTTTTCTTTGAATTGGACTGAAAATGATGAGAGTTGTAGAAAAACATGGATTTTGTAACACTTTTTTTGTACTCTCAGGTTTCAGAGGTTGAAATGAAATTTGTATCTGTCAACAGAGAAGCGTGCTGGCTGCTACTTTTTCTGATCATGCAAGAATTCTACCAGCACGGACGCGGTTATTAACTGCCTTCTAAAACCTTCAGAAGAAAAGAATTGAGCATCATTTCATAAACTCTTCGGCTGTCATCTGGTCAAGATTTTAAGTTGGCTCTGGTTGAAGTGATTGGCCGACTGGGTTATTCAGTCTGACCATCATCTTTATTTTCTCCTTGTGGCTTTAGTCAATGTAAAAATCTGTTAAGACTTGCGACAATTATGGACCCTTTTGAGCTCGTCAGAATTTTACGGATGGTATTATGCTAGTGAATCTAAGTCAATAAAACAAATTTGTTAATGAATCTAAAAAAAAAAAAAAAAATCCATTCTTTATATATTAAGATAAAAATTCCATGATCATGACCATCTTAACTAGTTTGCCACCAAAAAGAAAAATCCTAGTATCTGAAATAATAAACCTAAAATCATCCTATCTATTGGAAGAATGATCCTCTGCTAAAATTAGAAGTAGCACAAGGCACACTAAAACGAAGCTAAAAATGCCTTAAAAACATCTACTAATTAATTGAAAACTAAAAAATCAAAACCAGAGCTCTTCTAAGAAAATTGGAGCTGGTACTTGGGCTGTTTATTGGGGAAGAAGAGGCCAAAATGTCTCTCGGTTTCAGCTCCACCCTTCTGGTTTTCATCAAACATGGCAAACAAATAAGTTTCAATTGGTCGTCCTGGCCTCTTCGGAGTTCCATTTGGGATAAGGTTAATCACATTCTGATAGTAATCTTTTGCGTGACTAAATGTGGCTGCATCCTGCCCCGCCGAAGGCCAGCCAGTCTCCGATACAACTATCTCCACATTGGAACCACCTGCTCTCTCAAGTGCACAGTAGAGGGCATCCAGCGATGCTTCGAAAAGATTATGATAATTCAAGTCTCCATCTTGCACTGCAGATCCTGCTGAGTTAAGCAAGGCATAGCCTAGATCGATATGTTGTGGGTTATCAATATAGCTGAAGTAGGGGTACACATTGACGAGAAGTGGTGCCCCGGTTCTTGCTAGGAATTGGACTATCGGGTTAATGTATGGACCTGCATTAGAACTAAATGCGCCTGCTGATGGAGGATAGGAAGTGCTTAACAAAGATGGCTCCATTGATGTAGACACCTTAATGGTTAAATTAGCAGATGCTGTGGCATTATAGATGTTACGCATTGCAGGTAGAACAAATTGAGCTGCAGCATCACTAGGCTTGACTTCGTTACCGACTGAAACGTATCGAAACTTGACATCAGGTGAGTAGGCTATTATGTTGGCTTGGACCCAATTGTCTGCAGCTGAGGCATCAGTAAGCGCTTGAAGGTTTTGATTGGGAACACCAAGGGTAAGCTCAATGTTTGTTCCTCTAAGAGCCTCGAGGGTTGCCTGATTTGGATCATAGATTCGCATTCTGCCAATGCCATTGCTTTTATAAAAATCTACAACTTCATGTTCAGAAGGCAGGTCGTTGCCCAACCGTCCGTTGCAGACACCTAAAGATTGGGCACCTGTTTCGAGTAGGAAGCAAAGGTACACAAGAGAATTATTATGAATTTCAACATATGCTGAAAGAGGGGGAAAAAAGTATCCAAACAAGACCCAACAGAGAAAGAAACAAAAAAAAAAAAAAGCTAAAACCAAACAACACCATGTAGCAACCCAACGAAGCAAACAAAGAAGCCAACGCAAAAGCAAGACTAAAAAACATGAAAGGATGTAGATTAATGAGATGTGAAAAAATAAGAAAAACTATATCTTTAATGCAAGAAATATTGTTAGAATTCTCTCTCTATATATATAATTAAAATATTTTATGAAGAATTAAGCTCCTCTTGTTGAACCTTAAGTATTTACCCTTGTAAAAATCGTAGTGTGTGTGTGTTTTGTGTGTATAGTCATGTTATATCCTATGTACGCATTGGGTAAGAGCTGAGGAGAGTATTGTACCTGCTACTGCTTCTAGGCCAGACATCAAGGATCCAATAAACAATAGGGAAAGGGCAGCCATAATAGTTTCTTGACCGCCTGCGTTAAAGAAAGCCATGGGAAAGACGAGAAAAGAAATGAAAAACCTAAAAGATTCTGTGCCAGTTTCTAAGGCTTCCCCTGCTTCTCAGCGTATATATAGAGAGATAGAGAGACGATCTCGTGGTGAACATTTATGACAAGATATTCGAAGATATAGGGATTGAATCAATGATTATTAAAGTAGGGAATCGCAAGAATTTTCTACCAAAAATAGTCGCATAAATTTACTATAATATCCGCATATGGATTTCTTACAAGAGTTAGGAAAATATTTTTAGTCTATATAAAATCTCAAGAATTAATGGCACCCTTAAAAATAAAAATAAAAATAGTGATGACTCAGAAATACAGAAATCATCGCTTGTTGAACACGACAAGTATTTTAAACTCTCATGTCATGATACACGGCTAATGCACCTCCCCTGTCCCTTTTCTCTTTTTCTCTCGTAATGTAAAGTAAACATCCAGTGTGTATATATAGTAACATTTGAGAGGATCAGCCAATTTACTTCAACAACGAACCATACAATGCAAATTATAGTTTGCCCAACGCAAATAAGCTTATTATATTATATGAATCAGCCTGGTAGTACATAAATGAGCACAAACACTCTTATTCAAACCTTAATTAGGGGTAACGTACTACGCTATTTTTTCATTAGTTAACCAAAAGTAAGTTGGTACTTGGGCTGTTTGTTGGGGAGGAATAGACCAAAATGTTGTTCAATTCCTGCTGGTTTCAGGTTCTCATCAAACATTGCAAATAAGTATGTCTCTACAGCCTGTCCAGATCTTCTGGGAGTCCCTTGTTTCACATGATTTATCAAATTCCTGTAGAAAGTTCCTGCGTTGTCAACTGTTGCTGCATTTTCACCTTCAGATGGCCAACCACTTTCGGATACAACAATGTTCAAATTTGGGGCACCTGCTTTCTCAAGAGCTGCATAAACAGAATCCAACAAGGCATCAAACAAATTCTGGTATCCATATTGACCATCTTGCACCACGACTCCTGGTGAAGTAAACAAGGCATATTTAAGATCAATGCTTTGTGGGTTGCCAGTATAGCTGAAGTAGGGATACACATTTGCAAGAAGTGGTGCATCGTTGCTCCTTAAGAAGTTGATGATAGGGTTTATGTATTGACTTGCACTGTCACTAAATGCCCCATTCGACGGAGGGAAGGATTGTCCCAACAAAGTTGTGTCTATCGCCGTTGAAACCTTAATTTGACCTTGTAAATTGGCGGATACTATTGCGTTATGTATGTTCTGGATTGCTGGTAGAACATATCGTGCATTTGCATCTCCAGGGTGTACTTCATTGCCAACAGCAATGTAGCGGAACCTGACATTGGAAGAGTAGGCCACAACGTTGTTTTGGACCCAGGTTGTTGCAGCTGAGGCATCCCCGAGGGCCTGAAGTCTGTCATTGGGGACACCGAGGATGACTTCTATGTTTGATCCTCTGAGGGCCTCAAGTGTGTCTCTGTTTGGATCATAAATTCGCATCCTTCCAATTCGATTTGTTTGATAAAGACTTACAACTTCCTGATCAGATGGTAAATTGTTTCCATCTTTCCCATAACAAACCCCTATGGATTGTGCATCTGCAACATATAAACGGAATGCTGATGAGTTTGATGTGAAAAGTACTGATAGCCGTCGTCAGTGCGATATATATACATGGTGGTAGTTCTTAATGCGGGTGTGTGATTCAGAAATAGCCTGTAATTAAATAGCTCTTGATGTCTTTTGGACTTGGAAGAACAAACATTATCTGCCGTGCAAACTAGTTTACCAGCAGAATGAAATTCATGGTACCTTTGCCAAAGAAATCATTGTTAACAAGCTAGTCCATTGACTATTCCACTTACAACAGACTTTGAGTTTCTGACCAACTTAAGAGTCAAGTGAGGACCCTAGACAAGATCAACAGCTCAATAACTGACATTATAGATGATATAAGGATATAACCAATGAGATTTTCTATTAAATTTTTTGTCGTTGTCCAAGATGTTACTATGGACAATCTCTAAGCCCTTAAGCCTTTAGTGCAGGGATTAAACATGAGGATCACTTGATGTTGTAGCTTTTAAAATTTTAGATGACTATAGTTTTCATCATTCTTTTTTTATCTGTAGTTTGTTTGTCTTGATATGATCAAACTTATCAAATATTATTGGTTAAAAAAACAAAGAACTATTACGTTCACATAAGCAAATAGACCTAAAAAACCTTTGATTTAGCTTGACGTAAAAAAAAAGATAGATATTTTTATATACATACAAAATGACAAAATTTTAATGAGCAAAACAAAATAAAAATTATAAAATATAAACCAAAATAGAAACAAATTCACTAAAAGTTAAAAAGGGCACAGGAACATTAAAACTAAAAAAAAAAACCATTATGCGTAAGATAAACAAAATAACACATAACAAAACTTTAATAATCAAAATAAAGTAATGATCACATACATAAACATGGACTAAAATAAAATTAAAAAAATTTAACTATAAGCCAAAAAAAGAGCTTATGAACTCTAAAATTTTAGAGATTACATTATCTCTATCTAGAAATAAAAAAATTAATTTAGTTTTTTTTTGATGTTTAGTTTTGTTATTTTTTTCATATTCATATTTGATATCAAAATTTATAAAAAATTTTCACTTGCACTACTAAATGTTACTAATTTTTTTTTAAAAATAGATTATTTATTCGTATGATAGAAAAAATTATTTAAATAAAAAGACATGTTAATTTACTCCAATAATTTATTAAAATTAAATCAAATGCCTATTTTCAATAATTCAATAAAACATTGTAAGAAAAATCAAAATATAACAATAACATTGAGCATAAAAGAATAATTTTAGACTTTGAACTATGAAAATAAAAATATAATATAAGAATCAAAACGAAAAAATGAAAAACATTTGTATAATGTAATATAATGTTAAGAACAAAAATAAAAACTAGTATAAGCATAATATAATATAATGCTAAGAAACTATCTAACAATTATCATCGGGTGAACAAACAGATTTGCATATACACATTACCTGAAATTGTTAGGCGAGAAACCAACAAAGCAAAAAGCAGCAACATAGTCATAGCCATGAATGCGTTCAAATGAATTCTCTACACTTTAGATGAAAATCCCCCAATTCCTTGCACCTCTATTTATAAGAATGGTTAGGCAATGGATGCGAGGAACGTCGTAGCTTATATTATCAGTTAGGACTCCTTGCCCAGTCACCACTCCAAGGCAGACTGAAACCTTGCCATGACACGTGTAAGAAAACGTGAAACTGTCAATATCTTTCCACGTGTCTTAATTGGTGGAATGCCTTAATTCCTACGATGTCTGCGTTTCTAGTTTTCCTCTTGAAAATTCTACGGTCTTGCTTCCAGACATTTTTAGCTGCCTAACCAGAAGCTAGGAGTCTAAATTGAAGGATATAAGTTAGAAGAAACTTGGAATTAATACAGCCAATTTAGTCAACGTGTTACAGAACATGAAGTCAAGTAACTAAACCTGACTCGGTTGTGCTTATTAATTTCCACAAGTTTAACAAAACAAACTCATTTACGGACCTGGTTAGTCATACGTGGCCATGTGATGTGTCAATTTTAAGGATAAGTACGATTTGGTTCCTTGCTAACAAGATCACAAGGCGTCTCTATCTAACTATCATGATAAGATATTCCATTGATTATGCGGCTTAGATGATTTCTAGAGATTTTATGAATATTCAACTCAATTTTAATGTAAGGACTATTATGACAAATGTAAATTCGTAACTGGTTTTCCTTATCACCCAATACTTACGTATTCCTTGTTGGAAATTTTATATATACAAGATTGTGTACTACATTTAATCCCAAAAACTAAATTAATAAATTATAGATCTATTTTATATATGAATACGTAATTTTTTTTTTCAATATGAGATTTTTCACCACTCACATGAGCACCCAACGCTTTTAAAAGGACTAGAATTCTCTATTGTCAGGGGGATAATATGGCATGTTAGCCCAATATAATACTAGTCATGTTGAGTTTAAACTTAATTGAATTTAATTATACTTCGCTATTTACTAATTCTTGTCTTTGAATCTTTTGATTTGTTGAATCCTAAATTTAATATTGCATCAAAACCTTTCAGATTGATTGAAACATTTGGATGTGAGTTGTTGGTTAATCACTTGCAGCATTTAAATTTCTTATCAAAGGAGAACTCACGAAGTAAGTCACTTTTTATTATAAAGTTATAGCCGAATTACAGTCATTAATGTCAAATGGATTTCTAATTTGTTTAAAAACAAGTAGAAAATGATAGAAGTCTTTGTTATTTATGATAATAATGATGCAGCAAAGAGCTTTCCAATAATTTTTTTTCTTCCTCTATTATTTGAAGCCAATATTGTACTTGAGCTGTTTATGAGGAAGAAATAGGCCGAAGTGTCGCTCAATTTCAGGTTCCTTCGTGTTCTCATCAAACATGGAGAACAAATAAGTTTCAGTGGCCTGTCCAGACCTCCTTGGAGCCCCTCGCTTGACATGATTGATCAAGTTAATATAATATGTACCTCCATTTTCGATCGTCTCCACAGTTCCTCCAGCAGATGGCCAATCACTCTCCGAGACAGCAATTTTCGAACAGCTTCCTCCTGCCTTCTCAAGAGCTGAGTAAAGTGCATCCATTAAAGCATCAAAGAGATTCTTGCAAGTATATTGACCATCTTCTACAACAACATTTTCTTCAGTAAACAAGGCATATGGGACAGATTAACTATCGTAAACAACTCTAAAATAAGGGTAAATGTTGGCTAGTAATTGTGCTTCATTTTGGACCAAAAAGCTAATAATTTGGTTCCCTATAAGACCTTTCACTTTCTTTAAACACACCGGCTGATGAAGGATCAAAAACACCTAATAGACTTGTGTCTATCACAACTGAAACCTTAATCTGGCTTGCAAATTTGATGCTGCAATTTCATTATAAATGTTTTGCATGGCAGGTAAGATAAATTTAGCTTTTGGGTTACTGCCTTTTATTTCATTACCAACTGCTATGTACTTGAAGGAAAATTTTATGACATACAAAAGTAACTCGTGATATGTATAATAATTACTCTTTCGATCTAATTTGAAGAGAGAGATAAACAAAAAAAAGAGAAAAATTATATCAATACGATCGAAAGAATAATTACTGTATATTCTTACAGTTACTCCTTATGTATCATAAAATTTTTCTTTCAGTTTTATCTTTATATAAAGCTGAAATTCAAAGTATCTCTTAGTTCTATCCTTAACCACCTGTTCCCCGTCAATTACTCAACTTACATTTTAGCATGTATGCTTCGGTGATGGGCGGTATTGTGTAAAAATATTGTGGGAACAAGATTTATGATTTAGACATGTAGCAAAAGCTGATGCTTTATAATATAATAAATATTTATGGTGATGTGGTGGGAAGTATGGTTGTATAGACATAGGGATGGCAATTTGCCGCCTGCTCGATGGAGTGCCGTCCCACCGTGCTTCGATTTTCTCTGGTCAATGGAGGGAGTCTCCGCGTTGGTCGAGGAACATAGTGAGGTGCCTTGTGAGCATGAACGGGACAGTGATGGTATTTACTTGTCGTGTCCCATTTGCAATTAAATATTTTTTATTAAAATTAAAATTATATTTTAAATAAAATATACGATTAATGATTTTTAAGGTTTATTTTTATATAAATTATTATTTTTTTATTATAATTTAAAATTTAATAATAAAATGAAATAAAACGAGATGAAAAAATTAATATTTTTTATTCTGTTTGTCCAGCCAGTGCCTTGTGAAAATTTTCATCCTCGTCTGAGAGATGGGAATGGTATGAAAAATTTTATATCGCTTGGGACAAAAGATAAGAATGGAGTAAAAATTTTTAGGGACGGGAGGGAGACAGGGATGGCGCTGAGATGTTCTTTTGCACGTGCAATCGCACTTGACCGTAAATACCAACGCCTTGGTCGACTCTTTCTGTTGTTTGTACGTAGCACACATCACCATCATTATTGCCTGACTGATTTCTACTCTCACCTTGAGAAGTCTTACAATTCTCTTTTCCACGTATCTTTTAAGTCTATCAAAGTGCCCTGAAATTATGGGCCGAGGAATGCGCCATAGATAAAAAGTCACATATCTTTTTTCTAGCTGCTGCATGCTCGCAATTGCATCTGTTGGTCCTCCTCGTGCGTAATTTCAGTTCCTTCTATATAGCATGAGTTTGTGTGTGTGTATATATATATATATCTTGCCCAGGATTAATTGTACATGAGTACTCTAACACAGTGGCTTTCAAAGCTGGAAGAAGCAATCTTGATCAGTAACCGGTCCCTGCTGAGGCAGGACTATATTATATACATACGTGACTTGATTTTCTTTTGCTTTGCTGTTTTCTGCTTGCACCTGTGCATATTCCAAATTGAAAAAGGTACAGCTACGATTTCCCTGTAATTGCATATGGTCACTTCTCCATTGTCAACTCTCAAAATTAATTAATTCTATAATCAAACTTGACCAACCTAGCTCCCCCCAACTATACATATGCAAGTTCCATTTCTATTAAATTTCAGAATGAAAAATCTGTTGGAATTAATTTTGGAGTCTAGAATGATGTAAAGTGAGTTTTTCAAAAAATCAATGAGTTTCTCAAAAAATCAGTATCAATGACAAAAGTCTTTAGGGTTATCCTAAACTACTATAAATATATGTTTAGGAAGATTTGTAATTCAAGTCCAATCTTACAAGTGCCATACAATATCAATAAATTTCTATCATGTTTCCTCTATTCTCCTCTCTCTGTATTTTCTAACATAGAGAATGGCTAATTTAAATATCCAATCACTTTACAAGATGAAGATGATCACTAGCAATGTGGCTGTCCAAAAAAAAAAAAAAAAACAACAACAAGAGGCTAAATTTTTTAAAATGCGAAATGTAGATTACCATCACATTTTAAATTTCAAGAGTCATGAGACCTTCAAAATTAAGGAGGGATTAACAACACATTTCAAATTTTAAGAGTTATGAGACCTTCAAAATGAAGGAAGGGTGTTGGAATTAATTTTAAAGTCTAGAATAATATAAAGTGAGTTTTTTGAAAAGTCAATTAATTTTTGGAATAGTCAATATTATTGATAGAAATTTCTAGAGTTATCCTAAACTATTGTAAATATATGCTTAGTAAGAGTTGTAATTCAAGTTCAATTCAAGAGACTTCCTCTCGTACCGTAGTTATAAGATATCAGTAAATTTCTATCATGCTTTTTATGTTCTCCTCCTATTATATTTTCTAATAAAATCCACTTCGATGAGTAAATTATAATTTTATCCTTTTTTTTATATATTTTATAAGCTAGTCCTTTTAGTTTTAAGAATAATATGTAAGTTTGTCAATGCATAAGCTAGTCCTTCTAGTTTTAAGAATCATATGTACATTGGTCAATGTTAGCTGCGATTATTTTTTAAGTATACTATCCTTTTCACATGTATTTTTTATTTTGTTTGTAGTGAGCAAATTTAAAAAATTTAACTAAAAATAAAAAACAATTTATGAAACAAAAACCTAATTTATCATGAAAATTATACCAATGAAAAAATTTAAGTTATAATGAAATATAAAATTACAGGGATTTGATATTGAGCTTTTGAAACCAATAAATACAATCCTTTCTTGCAATCGCTGTTACCGCCTCATGAGCCGCTTGAACTTGAACTGTAGCTAGCTTCTTACTACCATTGTATAGAGATTTCAATTATTGAATGTTATACCGATATGGACTTGTACACCATTACTGGAACATAAAGAACCTATGGGCTTGGACACCATTGCTAGAACATAAAGAATCTTTGTACGTAAGTTACATTATTTTACTTTACACGTGATTAGCATATATCCCGCACGTTATCATAAGGTAAGCTATATAATATTTTTATATATTCATTCATATAAAATTTAAATTTTAAAAATAATTATTTAAAAGAATCATGTGAACTTTTTTTTTAAAAAAAACAAAACATATATCTCATATTTTGCTACGAGTTAGGTACAAAAAAATATGCGAAGTTGAGTAATATAATATTGTTAATTAAATATTATTTAATATAAACATATATTTTATTAAAAATATTTATAATAACTAATAATTAAAATAATGATGTGGTAGTTTTATGAATTTTAGATAATTCATTTTTACTATATATTCTTCATCGGTAGATTTGTTAATGAGATAGAGAGACCACTCAAAATTAAAAAACAAAAAAAGCTTTGTCAAATCGAGAATTTGATAAAAAAATAGAGATAAAATTACGTACGATAAAAATTAAATGATTAAAACAAAGTAATGATTATAAAAGAATGATCAAAATAAATAAATAAATAATTTCACTAAAAGCAAAAAAAAATAAAATTATAAACAATAAGACTAAAAAAAAAATTGATTATGCATAAGGCGGGAACAAAAGTAAAAGATGATAGAATTTTAATGATCAAAATAAAAAAATTCACAAAGTAAGAAACAAAAGAGAAAATATTTTATTAATAAAAGCCAAAAAAAAAAAAACTTAGAATAGTGAAACTGTGTTTAATTTTAGTGTAGAAAGGATAATAATCAAATATAATAAAACCTTAATGATCAAAATAAAAGAAAGATCACAAAATAAAAACCAAAACATAACAAATTTTTTTACTAAAAGTAAAAAAAATAGTTTTGTGTTGGAAAAAAAATCAAATATAATAAAAATTTAATGATCAAAATAAAAAAAAATTATAAAACGAGAACTGAAAAAAATAAAATTCTACTAAATTTAATGGTCAAAACAAAGAAAAAATCACAAAACAGGAATTATAATAGAAAGAAAAATTTCATTAAAAGAAAGAAAGAAAAGCTTGGGATAGTGAAATTTTATTTAGTTTTAGTATATTAAAGATAAAAAACAAACACGATAAAATTTTAATGACTAAAGTAAAAACATATCATAAAATAAGAATAAGAAAGAACATAAAATTTTTACTAAAAGCTAAGAAAAAAAATATTTATTAGAGGGATAAAAATCAAATATAATAAAAATTTTAATAATCAAAATAAATAAATAAAATTGTAAAACAGAGACTAAAATAAAAATAAAGCTTACTAAAAACCCAAAAAAGCTTTGGCTCAAGCAAGCAAACAACATATATATATATATATATAGTTAATCTACAGCACTTTCACTTTTCTTTTTAGTTTTAGTTTTTCTTATAATAATATCCTTGTAATCTCAACACGATGTTCTTTATTAAAAAAAGGGGAGGAAAAAAAGAAAGAGAAAGAAGACAATATATTTGATAAAATTAATTTAATTTGTAGCTTTGGAGGAAAGGGTGTGGTGATATCATTTGTGAGATAATGGTTAATACAAATTGAGCTAAACGGAAGAAATCTAAAGCGGTGTTTGATAACTTATTTAAGTAGTTTAAAAAATTGAGTTATAGTACTTAATATAAAAAGTTTGTTTGATAACCTAAATAATCTCGTATTAAAAATTTAAGTTCGGTGAAAATCTACTTAAACATATAAGTTAAAATTTTTAACTTATTACTTTTGATTAACACACTCGGTTGAAAGATTTTTAAAACTTTTTATACATGATTTTATCACTCTTATATATTATAATAACTTTACTATCCCTCATTGCTAAAACAAAAAAAACCTTAATTATCCGAGTAAATACCAAACAACTTATCAAATACATATTCAGTATTTAATTATTCAATATTTAAAATTTAATACTTAATAGATTTAACACTTAAGTTTGTAGTTGATTTGATTTATATGACATAATGTTTTTTTTTTGTCATTATTTATAATTAGGATCATGTTGTATTTAAAATCATCTAAACGAAAAAAGCAAAATTTTTTAAAATTAAGTTGCTATTGATTTTTTGTCCGATTAGGTGCCTTTTGGTTTAGATAATTACAAGAGAAAGTGAGTTCGAAAAGTGAGATGCATGATATTATTGTATTTAGCTTACTTCATTTTTTTGAAAAGAATCTCGTTTTTATAAACATTATTTTTTTTTCAAAATTTTTAAATTCAAATGGTGAAGTGATATGATCAGCATATAAAGAAATTTATGTCTTGAAAAACGGAAATATTCGTACTCATATAGATGTTAAAAAAATTCATTCATCTTTAAAATTAAGAATATCTAGAATATTTGTTAATTTCAGATTTAAACCCTAAAATAATAACAATAAAACACACTCACATATATTACGAGATAATTCTTAAAACGATGCCAATCCATTCAAATTTCATCATCTTCACGATAAGCGTAACACATAAAAATGCATGTCATTAATATTCCTAAAATGTAGCCACCGAAACTCAAAACCACCCAAAATATTTATTACTACACAAACATTTTAATTAATTAACCCAATTATTTGTGTTGAAACAAAAACGAAAAACAAAAAAAGCCCAATCATTTTCTCACTAACAACATAACCTTTTGATCATCAAGTTTGTGCCACCCTATTCTCCACCGTCCGATTTAATGACTCCTCCTGCACTGACTTGTCACCGGCGTTGCTAGACACCGGAGCTGCGATTCAAAACCCTAATAGTAACATCAATATCATCAACGGTCAGCTTTCTCACTCTCTCTCTGCCTCTTATCACTATTATCATTTATCTTAAAAACATTCTCAATCAAAACAAGAAATCAGCATGAACCCATCAAATTTTGGTAATTTAAATTCTGGGTTTTCAAATACAACCCAAATTAGTAACCAGAATTCAAACTTTTGCTCTCGATCATCGTCATCGTCAACCAAAGGTGGTCTTTCGAGGCCAAGATTGGTAAAAGTTAGGAGGCAATCAAATCCTCAGTATTTTAAATCTAATGAAGAAACCTGGTTTGGGCCCGGTTTCAATCCATTTCGACTCGATACGACTCGGACTGAACAGGGCGGTTCTGTTTCAACTGAGTTTGGTTCTGGGATTGGTGGTGATGAGGCGTTTGTGTTTGGAGCTAATCGAAGTAATGTGGGTTTTAATTCGAATTCGGGTGAGGGAATTATAGAGGAATTGAAAGGATTGAGAATTGGAGGTGGAACTAATGTAAAGATGAATGATAAAAGTGGTTTTGTTTTTCCAAGTGACGTTAATAAGAGTTGTGGTGTTGATGAGAGCACGCAGAAGTTGAGCATTGATGACAAGGAGAAAGTTGTAGATGGAAAGTCTAAGTTAAGAGCAAATGCTGGGTTTGAGGGTGGTGACAATGTAGGTAGTTCTATTGGGAGAAATTTGGAGTCAGTGCTACCAGATGAGTTGGAGAAAAAATTGAATATTGAAGAGGTTGGAGATGCCAGTGCCACTGATGGTGGTGGTAGTTTTCGAGCCGATGATATCAAAAATTTTGGATTTAAATGTAGTGAAAAGGGTAGTGATATGTTTGCTGCTGCTTCAGAGAATGCACGTCCTGATCGGATCAAGAATCCGAACATAAAGGACTCTGCAGATACTAATGATGTTAATAAGAAGACCAATGAGAAGGATAGTTTTGGTTTTGGAAGCAGGGAAAGCACTGGCGGTTATGTTGGTGGAGAAAATGAGAGTACACTTTCAGGTGAGATGTGGTGCAAGTTGAACATCAGAAGCATGAAAGGAGAATCTTCTGGTCAAACTGACATGGGATTTTCTTCTTCTCGAATCTTCAGAAAGGATATGCCAACTGTAAATAAGGGTTATAAGAAATTCCACGATTGTAGTGATCCCAGAGAATTTGTATGTGAGGGAGGAATGCAGGGTAAAGATGCAAGTGGTATTCAAATACCTATAGATCAACCAAAAGTTCATATGCAACCAATTGGAGTTGCAGAACCATCGCATGCCTTCTCATCCAGTAGCTTGGCTGGTGGGAATGCTTTCAGGGTGCCACCTACTGGTGGACTTGAGAAAACAGATGGGTTTAGTTTTACAACCAAGCAAGACAGTGCTGGGTCGCCATTTGTAGAATTTAAAACACCAAATCCCAAAGGAAATCTTTTCACTGCCTTAAATCCAAAAATGGAATCCAGTAGGAAGTTTAAAGACTCGAAAGTAAAGAAGAAAAGGGGAAAGTTGAAGCAGCCTATCAAAGTCCCTCTGTGGCCAGGTCAAGATTTTGTTACTAGGGAAGGTGGTTCCCAAGAGATTCCAGAGGCTTCCGAATCTTATTCACCAATGGATATTTCACCATATCAAGAAACACTGTCTGATGCTCAAAATTCCAGGGAAACTTCTGTTGCATCGGAGGAGTCTTTCACTCTAGATAATCAACATGCACCAACTGATTTACAACCAAATGTTCTGAATGATGCAATAGATGAAGAACTGGTTGTTGCAACACAGCAAATGGATATAAATGAAGAGGATGTGAAGTACGGTGAAACTAAACAGGAAAACTCTGAATACTGTTTTGATAAATGTATTGGAGCTGAAAATCATCTGGAAGAGTCTATTTCTGGGACTGAAACTGAAAGCTTTAAATCTGCGAATGAGGAAATAGATTCTATCAATGATGTTATGGTTACTTCAGCAGAAAGCGAGGCCAGTTCAAGTACAAATGTAGATAGTGACCTCAGGACTCAATTTTTTTCAGCTGTGAGTTCAGAAGATACTGTCAGTTCAGGCTTCACCTTTGCAGCCTCTTCTTCTGCACAAGCATCTCCAAAACGTCATCATAAAAAGAAGAATCTGGCTAAAGTTGATAATGATTCCTTTAGTTCCAGTGCTAATTCCAAAGGTTCATATGCATCATCTTCTTTGCAATTTACACCCTTTTCTGGACCTTCTTCACCCTTGTCCCCCGTACGGAGCAAGAAAGTCGGCCTATCTGCTCCTCCACATGGGGTTGGGGATAATGGTGAGCTGCTTAGAGGACAGGAGATTAATCAAGGGTCTGTTTCTGCATCTGCTACAGCTCAAGAAGCATGTGAGAAGTGGCGACTAAGGTAAGATAAATTCCAGTCAACTTAATGTCATTCTTTTATAAATTTATTTGATTTGGAATATATTCTCGTGTTTATCTATCTGCTTCATTTGATTCTGCAACCATACTGAGTGATCACAACCTTCTACTGTTCCTATGTTTTTGATACCTTTTATTTCAGGGGAAACCAAGCGTATACAAGTGGGGATTTGTCTAAAGCTGAGGATTGTTACACACAAGGTGTAAATTGTGTTTCTAAAAGCGAGACATCTAGAAGCTGTCTCAGGGCATTGATGTTGTGCTATAGCAACCGTGCAGCTGCCCGCATGTCTCTTGGAAGAATGAGAGATGCACTAGGAGACTGTAAAATGGCTGCTGCAATTGATCCCAATTTTCTCAGAGTGCAAGTCAGAGCTGCAAAGTAAAGTTCCTCTGTTTGTTTCTGATAAATTTTCTGGATGCTTTGATGATTTAATTGTTATGTATTCATGCATGTAATGCTAGTTCAATTTCTTATTCAACTTCGTTTTGTTTAAGAGTTCGTAACTGCTACCTTATTAGGCTCTTTTTCTCATTTTAGTTCATTAAGTTGACACACAAGTTGTGTTGCCATTCCATGTTTGAGTTATATCTTGCTGTTTGTGGATGCAAACAAGGAATATACAAATGATTTTTTGCTTCTCTTGCTTGTTGTGTAGCTCATTAAGCTTTTTCATCACTTAATCTCAGGCCAATCCCCCATTCCTAATCATTAGCTTCCGATTTTGTTGAATAGCAGCTCTGTGTAAATGCAGCTTTGCTTGTGTTTCTGTGCTGTGCTTATTTTCCTCTCTTTTTTTTTTTTTTTTTTTTTCGTTTTTATCCCAAGTTGTTACCTTGCTCTTGGAGAAGTTGAAGATGCAGTGCAATATTTCAAGAGGTGCTTGCAGTTAGGCATTGATGTCTGTGTGGACCGAAAAGTTTCTGTAGAAGCCTCTGATGGACTGCAAAGGGCACAGGTAATCTTTCTTTTCATTTGTTTTGTTCCCATAAAACCTTATAATTGATATTTTATTTAGTTTGCGGTGTAATTGTCCCTGTAGATGTATCCTCAGTTAAATAATGACATGAAATGCACAATGAATATGACTTAATTCTGATTGAGTTGGTGGATGTCATCCATTTTTGAACTTTTTGTATGTTGTTGTTGTGTTGCTACCAAAGCTTGAACCATGGTTGAGTGGTTTAGAGTTACAACTCCACAAACCACATGGCCAAGAAGCTTTGGTTTTTTAAATTGACTATATATGAATTCCCTATTTCATGGTTGTAACTGTTTTTCTTGACTGGCAGAAAGTTTCTGAGTGCATGCAACATTCTGCTGAACTTCTGAAACGGGGAGCACCTAATGATGCAGAGAGTGCTTTACAAGTAATTGCTGAGGGTTTGTTGATAAGTTCGTTCTCTGAAAAATTACTTGAAATGAAAGCAGAGTCGCTTTTCATGGTTTGTGTTTCTTTTACTGAAGCTTTGAAAGTTTACTTTTTGTGAACTGCATTCTATTACCCTATTTCCAAGTGAACATCACTCCCAAAATAGCTGGGGCAAGCTACATGTTTCATTTTCTTCACTTTATTAGGATTCATTTCATAAGTATGTGACTTGTTTACGCTGGTTGCCAACAAGCCACAACTTGCGCTGGCACTGGCTATGCCAATCCAGCCTCGTATCAAATCCTACATAAGTGTGGTTACTAAATCACTATTTAAGAATCTAATAGAAAATAAATAAAAAAATATGGTTGGAACTTGGTTAACTTTTGTGTCATCTAACAGCTGCGGAAGTATGAAGAGGTTATCCAACTGTGTGAGCATACATTAGATGCTGCCAAGAAGAATGCTCCTCCATTACATGCCGATTACCATGTAGAAAATCTTGGTCCTGAACTCACAAAGGGCACTTCCTTTATGATCTGGCGTGGCCGCCTCATTTTCAAATCTTACTTCCATCTTGGAAGGCTGGAGGAGGCTATTGCTTCACTAGAGAAGCAAGACGAACTTACTTTTATTGCAACGAGGTAAGTCATCCACCTTGCATATTTCCGATTTTGTTTGTTTGAATGATGATAAAAGTATTGTTTCTTCAGTAGTCTGTCCAGGAATGATTTTGAAACTCAGGAATCACTAGTACCCTTAGCTGCCGCTGTACGAGAACTCTTACGCCATAAGGTATTCGATTCTTGTTAGATTTTTTTTTCCTGAACAGTGTTTGACGTACCTTAATCTGTTATCTTATGGCATTAATATGACTAACTGCAGGCTGCAGGGAATCAAGCATTTCAAGCAGGAAAATATTCAGAAGCTATTGAACATTACAGTGCTGCTCTGTCACGTAACGTAGAATCACGGCCTTTTGCAGCCATTTGTTTTTGCAATAGAGCTGCTGCATACAAAGCAATGGGCCAAATCACTGATGCTATAGCAGATTGCAGCCTAGCAATAGCTCTTGATGGAAACTATTTGAAGGTTTTCTTCTAAACTGATGTCATCCTTTACCTATTTTTTTTTCTTTTTGCAGTAATGATGTTATGGAACCTGTTGGCAATTTTATGGGGTCCTATTTGAACCAGATCATTTATGATGTTGGTTAGAGCACAAGAAAATTTATATGGAACCTCGAAGGTTAAACTAGCTCTTAAGAGAAAACACTCACATGCTGATTTGCTCAAAATTGGGAAAGCATAAATCTGTCTGGGTATCAAAAATTTATATTCTGAAGCTATAAAACTGTACTTGATTACAAAGCCGATTCTGTGCATTATTGTTTTTGTTTCTGGTACCAAGTTAATCTGAAGAAGATTGCTGGCTTTGAGTCAAGGTGCGGATCTGGTTGAAATTGACATGTTTTGAAGATAATTTAATTATTTTCTGACTTTATTACTTGCCTTATTAAACTGCTTCAAGAATTCAGGTTTATGATATACAGTTTACTGGATCACCAAATTGACATCTGCACTTTTGCTCTTCCTTGGGTGCACAATCCAGTATCCATGGAAAAAAAAAATGATAATTTCTTTGAAAACACTGAATTTTTTTTTCTTAAAATATGTTTGACAATTTTTGGGCAGAGTAGTGGTATATTTAGCTACTTTCAGGGCCAAGATCACATTGCTTTCAGTTTGAACAACCTTTTTGGTAATGTGTGTACTCTTCACGCTTTATTAGGCAATCTCTAGACGAGCCACTTTATATGAGATGATTAGGGATTATGGACAAGCAACTAATGATCTTCAGAGGCTGGTAGATGTTCTTACTAAACAAGTAGAGGAGAAAACTAAACAGTTCGGGCAGTTTGATAGAACAACAAACTTGGCAAATGATCTAAGACAAGCTCGGCTGCGCCTTTCTACCATAGAAGAAGAAGCCAGAAAGGAGATTCCTCCGAACATGTACCTCATTCTGTAAGTCATTTGTGATCCTAGAATTTACACATGTTCTAACCTCTTTATAATGTCTTGTCATTTCACAAAAACTATAGCTGGAATATGAATGGTTTCTATTCAATCTTTTGATCATGGAGTGTAATCATTTGCTAGCATATCAGAGAGTAGTCTTTTATGTGGCTCCATTGCATGTGGTAAGAGAGATTTATGATCACTCCTTTTTTAGCACATGCTGAAACAAATGAGCTGAGGTTAAGCTAGTAGTGATTTCTTGTTATTATTAAATAGTGCTAGTGCTTTTGTGATTAAGTTGCACCTGGTTTAAAAAATCCTATATTTAGCCTGTCTTTACAAACCTGTTAATAAGTTAACCCATCCTTAAGTTCACTGTTATTGAGATCCTGATTTGTCATTGATTTAATGATATTTGTTCCCAAAACGACCCTCCTTCCCAGCCAAATTTTCCAATCTCATATGCGACACCCTAACCTAAGTTTTCTTTTCTTCATCTCTCTCTCTCTCTTCAAATGACACTACTACGGAGCATTTTAAAATTAAAAGCCTGGGACCCCCTCTCTTTCTCTCTGTTGATTTCTCACTTCTGTTATTTGCAAGTGTTGCCCATTTACAATTCCAAAAAGCCATATATGTTGGCATCCAAAATTGAAGATCTAGGAAGAAGATAGGTTTAAACAGCACAACAAACCTCAACGAAGACCACCCATGCTCGCAATAGCCAAGGAAAAAAAAAAAAGAGCCACTCTTACACCAAATTATGAATTTTGATAGTTGATTTTGATTTGTGCAGATGTTTAGTGGATGTAAGAGGTTTGATTCAGAATTTGAGCTTTGATTTTTGGAGAGATAGATAGAGGGTTGGATCAAAGAAATGAGGTTATAAGTTAAAATGATAGTTCGGGTATTCGAAAAATATTAAATATATCTTTTAGTAAATTAACACTCATGCTGGTTAAGGAGCCAATGAGCGGTGGCAGAGGGTGACTAAGTTGCTGGGGTGGCCAAGTTAGAAATAATAGGACTTAAAAGAGAAAAAGAAAATATTTTTTGGAGGGGGCAGATTAGAAAACTATAATGGCCTATATGAAACATATACTAATTAGAAGGGAATATACTGAACTTTTGAAAATTTTGGGGGCCATGGCCCCCTCATAGTTGGCTCACACGCCACCCTTGCCAGTGAGCTTGTAACTCAGTTGTTACCCATGTCTCCCTTCCCCCCAGTAGGACTTGGGTCGGGTTTTGGGTCTCTCCTTTGTGAAAAAAAAAATGGTCAGGGAATTAACTTATGATTTCTGAAATCAGGACTAACCTACTATGGCGTCAAAACCACATGGACTAAATTACATTGTTGTTGTCCTTGTTCTTTTTAGTATCATTATTATGTTTTGTTGTTCTTCTTCATATTGTCATTCATCTTCATGCTTTAAATTTAAGATTCATTTAAAATATGGGGTATAAAATTGTTTACCAATCAATTATGATGGGCAGGGGAATTGAACCTTCTGCTTCAGCATCAGAAGTTAAGAAGGCATATCGCAAAGCTGCACTTAGACACCATCCTGACAAGGTATCTTACATGTTCTACGTTATTTACATGCTCATTATGATTCACGCTTTTGATAAATTGGTTATTGATGTAGGCTGGTCAGTCCTTGGCTAGAAGTGATAATGGAGATGATGGCCTGTGGAAGGAGATAGGTGAAGAAGTCCACAAGGATGCTGACAGACTTTTTAAAATGATTGGAGAGGCATATGCCATGCTTTCAGACCCTTCTAAGGTCTGATGCACATTTCTATTATGCAATCTATTATACTTCTACATTCTTCTAATGGCTCAGCTTCTTAATATTGCTCTTAATCTGACAATCTTTTTTTTTCTTCCCTCTCAAAAGGGGGAAAACTTCTGCGCTGAAGTATTTTCTATTACTAGCAAGGCAGTCTTTGAGCTAGTCTGAGAAGAGGCATTCCCTCGAAATGGGTTTCGGTGTGTTGCTCACCAGTGCCTTTTACAAGTTATAATACTGCCCCAGTCCCCAGTGATTTCAAGTAGATAGTTTCTTATAGAAATGAAAGTTATTTAAATTCTTTATGTGGTTGTTTCTGGAAAAAGAGAAGAAAAGCTGAGGAAGTGAAGAGAGAGAACATATAGGCATATGGAAGAACAAATTCTACCATACGCAATAGCTAGTGGATTACAGGGCTGACTATGAAGTTCTTTTATGTGAAAATATGATGTTGCTTTATTTGCTTGTTGCACACATTTTCATGGTCCAGTCATGATAATCATGCTTAATTTCTCTGAACAAGAACATCAAGAACCATAGTGCACTTAATTTTGTTTTGAGAAATTTAACTCTCTTGCTGTATATGTCTTTTATTCTTATTGCATGTTATGATTCTTATTTCTCTGCTTGCTTTGTGTTGTTAGAAGTGGTCTTCTTGGTATCTGTTTGACTTGTTATCTATTGACCACTACAGTACACAATCTCTATTAGATTTTTGATAGCAGCCCTTTGCCCTGCATCATGTTTATTACTTTTCTTGGGTACTTTACCTGGAAAACCACACTGCAACCTAACTGGCTGTACGATAATGATGGTTATATATCATGCATCATGGCATTAATACGCCTCCTCTGCAGGTCATGTAGGCCCTCCATTTTCTTGTTAGGCCTTGCCCTATCTCCTTGATATATAGAAAGTAAATCTTTATACTCATAAATTCAATTGTTGCATGTGAAAACTGGAACAAATCATTGTGATTTCTTTTACTGCTTAGTATAACTTGTGCCCCTTCTTTTGGAGGATAAGCTGCTTACTTTGCTGTACACCTATTAATCTTTTAGTATGTTGTGATTCGTTTTTCCTCAGAGAAAAATCGGTGTTTATATGGTCAACATACAATGTTTTGCAGCGCTCACAGTATGATCTTGAAGAAGCGATGAGGAATGACCCGAAGAAGCGAAGCGGAAGCAGCACATACAGAACACGTACAGATGCTCAGAATTATCCATTTGAAAGAAGCAGTAGTAGGAGACAATGGAAGGAGGCTTGGAGGTCATATGGTCAGTAACTCAACCATTGAAAGCCAGGATCCACTCAGTTTAACAGATTTTTATGACAGTTGTGTGGCATGCATGACGAAGAATCTCGAGATTCTGATCAAGTTAGTCCTTCTGTAGTCTCGTGGTTGGCTGCAATCTGTACGTAGCTTTGATCCAAAGGTCTTGCAAATGGTAAATCATTCCAAGAACTGACAACATAAATGCAGAGGAACTACCTAATAGTTGAAAACTTTTCAAAAAATCGTGAATTTCTTGCATCAAGAGCTAGGTTGTACTAGAAAGGAGGAAAAAAAGAAAAAAGAAAAAGAAGGAAACATAAAGGAGGGAAAAGGAGAGCTGGTTTGTATTCAAAGTTTGACAGGTAATTGTCAGATCGTGTGAGGATTTGTAATTTGAATTCTAGAAGAGCTTTGTTTGACAAACAAGAAAAAGAAAAAGAGAGCATCAAAAAGCGTAAACAAAAAGGAAATAGGCGTGCTGTTTAAATGCATTCTGAGTCCTGACAAAGGAGATTGCTAACTGTTCGAGTTGTGTAAATGTATCGGCTTTGTACAGATGAAAACTTAACACTGTATTCAAGAAATTAAACCAACATTTTCGAAAAATATCAAGGACTATTGTCAGATAAATTCATCAGGTCAATCTTAGCTGTAGTGATGCTAGCATTAAGGCTTTGTTTTTAGCTTTAATTTAGTCTAGTGATTGTCTGTAAATTGATTGTGAGGGGACATGTCCAAAGTTGCATCATTTCCACGTTTGATGATTTGTAAGGATTTTGCTTCGAAAAATTAGGATGTGTATTCGAGTTAAAGACTGAATTCTAAGTAGTCTTGTTTTTTATGTTTTAGTTGGTTAAACCTTTTTGGTTTTGAAAATCATAAGTTAATCTCATTACTAGAGTTCAGTATTACTGTGTGTAGTAAGTGAGGTGAGATTGGAAATTTTAAATATTACATTTTTTTTAAAGACAATAAAACAAAATAAAAACAATTAAATTTTGTCCAAAGTCGAGGTTCTGCTCTGCATGGATAAGAGAAAATTGTGAAATTGGTATCCAATTTTTCTTTTTTAATTTTCTATTTAAGCACTTAACCTTTAAAGTTTTAGCTATTTGAATTACTCATTTTTAATTTATTTTTTCTTGATCTTGTTTCCTTTGTCAGTTATTTCGGTTAAACAGTGATATAATCTTTATCTTGAGCCATGTAGAAAAAAATCTGGATATGAGTTGAAAAAAAAAAGAAGGAAAATGCATATTTAGTATCTAATTATTATTTTTTTAAAAAAAAAATCCATTTATTCGATTATCCTGAATTTTTTTTTTTTAGCAAACGATACAAAAGTGAAGGTATGATGTTGTATCACGTGGTGAAAATATAATATAGATCCGGATTGAGATCAATTTTAAAAACTAATTGAATATACATTCCTCCTTATATATATATAAAAAATAAAAACAAGAATGAAAATAACTAAGCTTTGAAACTAAATCTAACCTTATCACTAATGATCATTATTGTCTTGGTAGATTAAGAATCAACAGCTCTCTCTCTACAAACGGCCCACCACCATGAATAACACGTTAAAAAAAAAAAAAATTAATTAAAGATGAGCAACTAAATTAGATAAAGTTAAAAGTTTAGTATTCAAAAAATTATACTTTTCTCCGTTGCCAGATTGATTTATGAGTTTTCATCGTTTAAATAAATAATCTCGACTTCGAAATCTTATATATATATAAAACTTGTTAATAGTTGTGTTTATTTTATATTTCATTTTTTTTTCTCAATTGTTTTAATAGAAGAGAGAAATATAAAGCCCGCAATATGTTTATTGGTACATAACTAAATAATACCCTTATAGGTTATCTTAGGTTACAATCTAGTCTTTCAAAAATAAATTATTATTACAACGGTACCTCGAAAGTTTTCTATTCGGAACTAACCAAGTTGCAAGAAATGATAGAATTAATGGACCAGGATGTGCTTCATTTTGCCAGGGGCTCTTGCCATATATGCACCAGTATGTCTTGTTTAAACAAAACACCATTACTATGTCTGTACTCTGTCTTATTATTAAGCAGTGGTTACAGGATGCAACAACCTTATTTGAAATAACTTGTCAATAAGCTGTGGATTCTTATCTAGGGTTTTTTTTTTTCCCCCGGAGCTAATAGATAACAATGACAATACAATTTATTTTCGATTGGGATTGAAAGAGAGGTTCGATCTTATCAACTACAGAATTCTTGGCTTAAGCTAACCTAATCATGTGCGTTTTCAATCTAGACATGTACCTTGTTGAACAACTTCTATTTGAATTACCTTAGATTCAACATGCACACACTTAAAACACTTTAATTAATCTGGAGGTTAAAAATTCCCTTACCCTCTACATAAATGTTCAAGCAAGTGATTAATTCAATTTGGAAAAAGAAACACATATGCAATATGATGGCTCACATCCTTTTCTTAACCAGTTGAAGTCGATGTTATATTTTAAAGAAAAAAAAATATCACAATCAAAGACAAGAACAAAACTTTATGTAATGGTGGTAGAGCCAAGCTATGCCCACTTGTGAATCTTATCATTTCTACCGCAGCACAAAAATAAAAAATAAAACCTTCTTAGTGCTGAAAATAACATCTCACAAGTTGAATTCCCATACAATTGCCATCCGTTTGAAGAATAAATATATACTAGCAGAACATCAAAATAGTGGGGAAAAAAGAAAACAAATTAAATATCTCGGAGTGGATGGCTGTCACCAAATCCTGCAGTGCTGTAGTAATCATCTCTATCAATCTTTGCCATCTCCTACAATCATACCTGTCAGCAACCTCGGCCCGTACGGATCTTCACGCACATCCCATCCTGTTGGCCTTATTTGTTCCACAGGCAACATCCAAGGATTATCCACCACAGAACTCTCTTCTTTGCGTGGTACTGGCTTACGAGCTTCTTCCAGTTCCATTAAGAGTTGGGTATCAAATTCAGAATTCCAGTCTATTTCATCAATGTATTTGTCCGGATTTGGTAAGGATGGGCGGCAATAAGGAGCACGACCATAATTCAGTGCCCAAAGCCGATTCTTGGCATTGTAGAAGCACTCTTTGCCTTCAGAATCATCCCATTGCATGATCTCGTTTGTTTCTGATATGTATTTCTTTGCTTCCAAGAGATCTTTCCATTACATACTGCCTACGTCTAAGCAAAATTCTTTCTCCCATCTAGGAACAGAGCTACTACTCCTGTATTGAGTTTGTGATGTCTTCCTGCAATTCCTGCTCCTAGCTTCAGGATAATATCTTCCACGGTATACCATTTTTTTCAAGAAACGAGAGTAAGGTTGAGAAAAATTTGGTACGGTAATACTAGTCCTGACTTGAGAACCCAGAAGAAAGTACAAAAAACGAGGGAAAGTTAGGACTTGGGAGAATAGAGTGAATCTTTGGTCATTGATGGAGGCTTATTTATAGGGTACTTTCCTCTCATGATTCGGATTAGAATTTCCTTAGCCGACTGGGCTAACTTTGTCATGGTAACCGACTTTTTCCCTCATCCTTCGTGTCCAGTTTCTCTTCGGATTCCTGCTATATTCTCAAATACAATAAATAGTGTGTTTTTTTTTTTTTTCCAATCAAAATTAGATGAACTTTCTTTTAAAATTGGAGAGATTTTTTTTCCCTCATTTCCTTTAATATTAGTTCGCCGTAGTCCTATCCCCTTAAACCCGTTTTCTTCTTATTCCTATCTTCAGGGAGGGGACTCCATGAGTGCGAAGAAGTATAAAGCTTGATTCAATCATGTAATCAAAGGGTTTAGTGTCTTCAAAAGTATTTACTTTACAGCTTTCGTAAGAGAATGAAAAACTGGATTTGTTTCCTTAGTTCATAAAGATAGTATAGTATTTTACAGAATAATCCTCTGAATAGTCTGCAACCTTTAGTCCTTCTAAATGAAATCCTCCGGATTAATCTATAATCTCCACCAGCCGTCTGAATTGTAATACCTGGATAGTAAACGTCAGCCTAGTCAAGGTCACTTTGAACCAGCAATTATGAATTCAGATACTGACATATTATGAAATGCTGGATTGACACTGGAACTTTTTACCTTTTAAGTGTGTAATAGCGGCAAAACTGAGGAAGAAAATTTGCAGTATGATGGATAGCTTTCTGAGAATTCTCACACGTATATTCCTAATCCAAGCTCTTTTGGGTCTGTTTCCACCATCCAAGGTGGCCTATTGAATAAAGAAACATTAATGCAAGGCTAAGGGAAAAAAGGTCAACAAATGAAGGAGATTGAGTTTCTCGATTTGTATCATTACTTGTTCATTATAAAATTTATCGTTCCTTCTGTAGCGCGATTAAGAAGAATTTCTCTTGCCTCAATTGAAATTCCTTCAGGCTGTATAGAGAATTTGAAAAGGGGTTTTATAACATTTCAATTTACAACTTGTGTTTGTAAACTGTTTAGCTGTTGCACATACCTCTTCGGGAAACCAGACCCCAGGTTGTGTGCTCCCTTCGAGAAGTGCAAGAGCAAAAGCAGCAGCTGCATTTCCCACAGAACTGAAAGCCAGGACTTTCAACAGCTTAACATTTTGTTATCGAACATATATTTTTCAGAGGCAAGTAAATACTGGGTTTAATTGAATTAGCTAAAAATATCTAGAAATTCAAGACTTACACAGAGAGTTTCCGGTGACTAAATAAACCAAGTGTATTGCGCCCATCCGTGCACTCCAAATCAACCTGCCCAATAACAATGAAGTAGAACAGATGGTTGAATAACTTGCTTAAATTCAGTACATTCCACCATCCTCTTTTCTGAATACAAATGATCATATATAACTGCTACGAATTGCATTTTTTAATATTATTATCTCACCCTCATAGAAACACGCTCTCCAGCAATCCCATCAACTGCTCGGACTAGAGGGTCAAACAACTGAACCAACTGTTGGACTTTGGTTCTGTCCTTCAGAAATTCCTGCATAGATTTAATCAAGGTGATATAACTGCCATGATAAGATATACAAGCATACCACATTGCATCCCGGTATGCCACCTGTTTCTTTAGTTCTTATTAAATGATCCTTCACACGCAAAACATGCACCAAATTCTATGACAAGCTACCAATTATTGGTAAAAAAGGAAAAACAGAGTTTCTCATTAACTTCTCATATGGATTAATATTTATTGATACCTAACAATAGAAGGACCTTGTCATGAAATCATCAAACTACAGTTTGAAATGTAAGTGATATTAATGATTCCAATTATGGAAATTTTGTGAGAGCATACTGGAGGAAGAAGCCTTGTCATGGCTGACATTCCCCAATTCCAGAAGAATGGAGCAGTTCCAAATCGAGCACTGACTGTTGGTATTCCCAGGACATCATGAGCACTTCGGACTTCTGGTAAATTTCTGGACATAAGGATATATATTGAGTAGAAAGTTTTTGAAAACAAAGGAGCTTTACAATATTTAAATAAAAATCAAGGCAGAAAACCAATAGCTCTTTTCAGCAGAAGACAGTTACCATAAGGTGTAAAGTTTTTCAAAGTTGTAATATACCATATGCATCTGATAAAATAAAGAAAACAGACATAATAAATGCATGTGATATGTGCAACGAGACATTTTTGGATCCAGTGCAAAATGAATTAACTTCCAGAAATATACCCTAGAAGGGTATTTTTAGGAAAACAGAAAACTGCTTTGTCCATGAAGGAGCTTCATAGAAGAACATTCTTGTCATAAGTTTTCTAAGTTCAAGAACTAGAAAATGTTAAAGAAATGAAAGAGCAGAAACCATAGAAAAGAAAATGAACTAGTACTAACTACAAGTTGTGGTCACTTCACCCCAAGGGAACCCCTGGGGATAAAAGTGTTTAATGACAACAAATTAAGAAGAACCTAACCAACAGAAGCATGTGAAGGAATTAAAGAAAGAGAAATTGAACTAATAGAAAACGACTAGAGACCAAAAGGGTGCAAACCATTCTAGGACTGATAGGAGAGGAAATTCTCTTCGGCTGATGTACAGAAGACAACGGATTCATAGTTGATTCAAAATGTTGATTATGGAGTGTTATGCAGTTCATCCACTGATGGTCTAGAGTCATTTAAGGACACAAATAGTTACTAAAATTTTCTAAGGGTAGCATTTGCAAAGGCTATAATTTCTTTAAGTTCCAATAATTGCAATAGTTAAGGATGCTTAAAACCAAAGTTTTCACCAATGCCAGAAAGATTCACAGAAACAAATTCTTAAATTTTGGATTAGAAAATTGATGCACAAATACTGATATCACGACATTGTCCGTATGATAAAAATTGGTCCATCCCAATCAATGATGCTCGTTCAAATTGTGATCGTGGACCTGTTAATTAGATGAATTGGTACCTAGAAACTACCACGTGGAAAGTTGCTGCTTTGAGAGAAATTTCTTTCAAACACACTTACAATAGGTAAACATCTCGCTTTCCAATCCCCTTTCCAAAGTCAATGTTGAGCATTCCACTATATGGCTTTAGTTTCATCTTTTCTCCTGATTAAACAAATGTTACCATAGTTTGAGTGTCATTTAGAGGAGTACTGTGGTAGAAGCAGAAGGGGATTATGCTAGTTAGTAAAATGCGGTTGGGACTGACCTTTGTTATATGCAATAACCTCCTCACCAAGAAGTAAGAAACTAGTAGCCAATATGGTTGGACCAGCACCACCACTGCCTGCTGTGTAGTAGTAGAACCTGAGAAGAAGAGAATTCTCAAGTGTAAACAGCACAAGCTTGGAAACAAACCCTTGAATAGCTGCTTTATGTGTCATGTAGTGGATCGCCCATTTACAAAGCAAGCAAAGATGCACCAGTTCCATGTTAATTCTACTGATTCATTTCAACTGGAGTGAAAGGAGTTGCATAAGTTTATGCCTTAACTCAAAAATAAGAATTAAAGATACCACCAAGACCAAATAAGGATCAAATTTCCTTCAACCGAGATCAGAAAGGAAAATGAATTTTTGGGTCTATGAGGTTAATTGCATGGCCAAGAAGAAGAATTGCTTTCAGAATAAAACGTGCATTTGCCACTTCAAGGAAAATGTTATGAGGTACCAGAAATTGTGGATGGAGATGTATCATTTTATCAGAACTTGTATCAGAAAACTGAGGCAGTACTGTGCATACTAGTAAACTAAAGTGGTAGGAAGCCAAGAATCGCTAGAAGGATAATTAACAAGGGATGATGCATTAAGCTCAGCTTGTAAGAGAACCCGTAGTGATATTTTGTGATGAATAAGGAGTTGACTAGTTGAAACTTTATTTGGTTTCAGTTATAAGAGTGAAAACAATTACCTCAGCCTCTCTGGCTTTCCCTCGCTTTCAGTTTCCGCAGCACGAACTAGCTCTGCTGCCATTACTGTCATGAAGGTGGTGGAAATTAGTATGGAGGGTTGAATAAAAGTATAGTAGCTGAATGTGAGGCGGTTTGCCTCTTTACGTAATGTATGATCCATCTACCACTTCTATATCCACGTAACTTCTAAGAAGCTACTCTATGCTTGTCTAATTTTGCTTTTCTTCAGGCATAGTTAATTTTAAAGCCCAAATGGAGGGTTTGCATGAGGTTGGTAGTGGCACAACCTTAAGGCAGCTGATAAGAGCATGAGTCATAAGAATGTTCATAAACTCAAACTGTGCGAGCTTCATTAAGTTATAATTCTTTTCCCCATAAAAAAGTCATCTCAAAGCAACAAAACAATGTACTTGGGGCTGCCCAAATGAATCTTTTTGAATTTGGCACTATCCAGAGCCACATAGTTGTATGATAAGATATGCCCCTCAAAATCACAAATGATAAGTGATGAGTACTGCAAATACAGAAATGCATTTCATACAAGGGACAAAAGATGCAAGTAAAAATGATAGCCTAGCAAGAATGTTGATAATCATACCATTACTTACTCCTGGATAGATTCCACCAGTTGTTATGGCAGGAATATTTGCAGCTAAGGCTCTATCCTTTAAGGATTTTGCACGCAGTGCATAGCTTGTATCATCACAGACATCAACATAAGCCGTCTGTAAGGAAAACACAAAAAGACAGCTCCTGAGATATTATCTTTGTTATGATTATAAACAGGCCTAATAAGCAATCACTTATACAAAGAAATCCAACCTGAAAGTTGATATTCAGAAATATAATGTTTACCTTTCCTCACCTTGGTCTCTATGGCAGCTTCAAGTACATTGCATTTCTCAGCCTGTTGAAAAGGCCCTGCAGCATGAACGACAAGATCTACATCTGCAGATGGACTAATACAGCTTGAGACTTGGAAGTTCTAGGAAGCCAGAACAAAGCTGTTTAGTTCTGTTACATTTTCATTTGAATAGGATTACAGCTGAGATTTTCATTTCATAGGCATTAATTATTGCGGCTGAACTGTGCAAATTTCCTAGAGCTTGACCAAGTCGTGGCAATCTTTAGGAATTAGATACTAGATAAAGATGAAGCAGGCATCCTTTGGATACCATACAATTGAAACTTATAAATGTCGAACCTAAATCTTGTCGGGACAAAACCTGGTTGGGCTGAATAAAAAATGTAGAACCCCATGATTTATGAGACAAAATCTACAACAGGGAGGAAGCAAATGGAACAGCCACGCTTAAAACTACTACAAAAGATAGGAATTTGTCTTCGCAAAATATATGGCGGGCTAAAATAACATAAACCAAGCACAATCATGACCAGCAAGTCGCAAGATACCTTTGAACCTCAAAAAGCACAAAGACAAGGAAAATAGTAGCACAAATGTATCCTTGTTGAAGCTTTCTTGACCTTCTAAAGCTTTTTTTTTTTCTCCAAATTATGTCCAAATGGAAGATTTAATTGTGTGGTCAAGACAAAAGCAAATAGAAAACATCTAAAAGATAATGGCTTTGCAATTCTGATAGTTAAAAAGATTTTTGTACCATTCAAAGCTGCTTCCAATGAGTCCACAATTTCAATGTTGACTTCGGTGAACTCAGAGTTCTTCCCCAATTGAGCCACCATTGCATCACCTTTTTCCCTACCATCAATTTTTTCACTTCTTACTTTTCTTTTTTAATCACTTTCTCACAAACCAAACAGAAAACAAACATGGGTTATTGTTAATTTTACCTGTTTCGGCCACCAATAATAATTCTAAGGTCAGGGAAAAACTTGGAGAGAGCAATGGCAGTGGACCCACCAACCCGACCGGTTCCACCCAGCACAAGAACCCTTGAGTTCCGGGTCTTCTCGGGAAGTTGAACTGTGTTGCTGTTAGAATTATCATGTTTCCTCTCTTTAATACAAGCGTTTACGCTTATGCTGCTCTTCGACAGAAGCAGAGGTTGCCTAGCCATCATTACAAATGCCATCACATTTGATGTTCAGCTTTCTGCTAAAAATGGAAAGACAAAAAGGCAGGCTCTCCCTCTTTTATCCCATTATCAGTTTATCGTTAGCAATGATGTGGCGTCTTAATGCGAGTAGAGATGACATGGAGATATGGTATCCACATGGTCTCTTCAAGTGCATCAACTGTTTTATAATGTTCATTTCAGTCCTTTTTGTTGCCCATTTTTTTCACACTGTAGAGTAGAAAACTGCTCATTGCAAATGCCATCACATTTGATGTTCTGCGTTCTGCTAAAAATGGAAAGACTAAAAGGCAGGCTATCAATCCTCTATCCCATTATCAGTTTATCGTTAGAAATGATGTGGCGTCTTATGGTGAGTAGTGATGACACGGTGATATGGTATCCACATGGTCTCTTCAAGTGCATCAACTGTTTTATAATATTCATTTCAGTCCTTTTTGTTGCCCTTTTTTTTCACTGTAGAGTAGAAAACTGCTCATTGCTGCAGGAGTAGGTCAGAGTTTGGACTAAGACATCTAATGTAATCCAGGATGATGATTTCAAGTTCTTTACATTCTTATATATAGCTGAAAAAAATAATCGCAGCATAACACTAATTTTGTGTCAATTTAGGGCAGTAAAATCTGCCTCATTTGATTAGGGCAGTAAAATATTTCAAGAACAGATGCAGGAAAAGAGTTCATCCACTAAAAGGACTCACTCACCGTTAATTTAATTTGCAATAGAATTGTCAATTAGAAAATTTACCCCAAATATAATACACTAGGCATGACTAAGATGATTTAAACGGACTGCTTTACTTGCCATGAATTTTGCATTAGAAGTGTCGATTAGCTCATGATCCTCACCGTCACCCTTCCTTAGGGAACTTGATCAAGTCGAAATCTTTTCCAAATGAGGAAGGCTAGAAGGATCGGGCTGTGCAGGATCGGTTATTAATATCTATGTTCTGGTCCTCGTTGAGAACCAGCCCTCGTGTCATGTTCACTTTCTCTAAGGCCTCTTCAGGCAGGTTCAACAAAGTAGGAGCCGATTGACTTCACCCTCATCAGTCTTTTCCGGAGACCATCCTCCTTTTGGAAGAGGAAAAGCTACCCTCCATTCACGGTCTGGATTGAAAAAAAAAAAAAAAAAAAAAAAAAACAGAGATAACATGAAGCAAAATTACAATGAATATATCTCATAACATAATTATGAAGAGAGATCATATATTTTGGCAGATAATAAGTATGAATTTCTATTATTATTTTTTAAAAAAAGAAAAAATGGGGGTGGTGGGGGGGGGGGGGGAACCAACTTTCCTTGTCTAAAAGCATAGGAATATCAAAAGATGAATCCCATATCTCTTCGTTTGACAGAAGAAGAAGGAAAAAAAAATAAAGAAAAAAGAAAATAAAAGACAAATCTGCAAAAGTATACTGCATGCCTTGAGTTCTTACCTGGAGAGAGTGATGATCTATTGATATTTTTAGTATGAAATGTCATGAACAACAACCTTACTTGTACAAATAAATTTGTAAAAATATGCTGAACCATAGAATAGCATCACTGAACTACAGTCGGGACTGCCTCCTTTTCCTTTTGGCGTATAGTGCAGGACTGTAAGCTGAGTTCACATAAGCACAGGGAAAGTTTCTCCATAATTTGCAATAAATCAAGATATTCCTGAAGATGAAATTATTGATATTTTATTCTACCAATGTATAGTTACCTTGTAGTGTATTTTCCTTGTTAAATTCTTCTGGCAGGGATTATTTCTTAATAAAAATTATTTCCATTTATGTCTTTTGCATGTGATTTTTTTTCTTTTATAAAATAAAGATTTGAACTCGAGATTTTTTTAAAAGAAGAAAATGTTAATGCCAATTGAATTACAATTTATCCGTGTAAAGTGATTATGCATGCTTTGTTTCACTTGCAAGCACATGAGCTTTCCTGGTGATAAATGTACTTCAAATTTTGAAAGTAGACATAAATGAATTTGAAATCAAGCTGTATAGATTACAGGATTTCTGATAGTTTCACTAGTGGCCATGAAACTTTGTTAAATCATACCACAAATTGCAGGATTTTATTATTATTATTATTATGGAATGGAGTGTCAATTTTTTATTTTTTTGGTGCAAATGGAATGTAAATTTGAAACATGAATATACATCATACATAATAGTCATAAATTTATTATGGTCTTGTCAATCTAAATTAAGCAGCACTCATATTGTCCGTTCTAACAAATAAATGCATTTTTTTTCCCTGTGAACATGAAAACAAAAGGGAAAAAATGAAAAATAAATAAATAAATAAATAAATAAAGGGAAAAACTCCTCTTTTTTCAACTAAAACAGGTTTTAGAATATTTATGTTGCCTTCCTTTTCTTTTTCATTTCATTAAACATCTAGAATTTGTTGTACTATAAGTGTAATTTTTCAAATCCAAAAAAAAAAAAAAAAAAACTATGAACTATTAAGCAAAAACTTGCTTTAAAAAAACTAATAAATGAATTTAACACAATTTTTTAAAGAAATATACGGCCTGATATGAAAGTGGAACCAATTAAGGAAACACCAAAATAATCAACTTAAACTTGTAGCTTCCATTAATTAAAATGCTTACATGGTTGAAATTTGATAAAATTAAGGAGAACACTGCTGTAATGGAACAAAGGAGAGATAAAAAAAACACAAACATGTTAAACTTATGGGACTTCTGAATGTAAACCACTTGCAGAATTGACTTTGAATTTGTAATTATAATAATTGAACTCTGCACCTGTGTTGCCCACTCTAGAGGCATTTTGAAGTTCAAATGTGTTTTAAATTCAATAATAATAATAATAATAATAATATCCATTCAAAATTAAATACAAATATTTGGTACTAACTACAAAAAAATCGGGCTAAGATGAACATAAAACCCAGCCCAAACAAGTATAGCAATTACAAATCGAAGCCACAAGGCCCACAATCTGAGAGTCCCTTTGCTTAGCCAAGAGGACTGCTCGCTTGAAAATCCTGATGCTAAAAACTTCGTAATCCTACTGAAGAAAGTTGCTAATATGCAAAAACAATGTCGGTTTCAAAATAGCTTAATCCGCTTTCAACAAGGAACCACAAAACTCCTTCCATCATATAGTACTCCTATTATAAATATAAATTATCCTTCTTAATTCCTTTCCGTTAACTTGGAGGTTCCAATCATTATTACTTCACTCTTTTTCTTCTCTCTATATATATATATATATATACTTTCGTCCTTTTTTTCTTGCATGCGTTAGTCAATTCTCTTATTTTCGTCGCCTTAATTGTTCTCTCTAAGAAATTGATCTTAGTAATTTGATCTGCCTCTACCCTAGCAGCAATGGCTACCACCGAGGAGCTGCAATTTCTTGAAACAAGAAAGAGGCTCAAACAACAAATCCGAAAGCAAAGCTATTCTCATCATCTCTCCAAACTTTCTGGTTCTGATCAAATTAGTTACGGTTCATTTTTTGGCCCTTCTCAACCAACTATCGCTCCAAGAGTAATTCAAGAAAGCAACTTATTCTCTGTACAAACCCAGATTCCAGCACTTAGAGCAGTAAGTTCAGATACTATTGTTTCTACAATGGATAAGTGGATGAAAGTCCAAAGGCTTCGAGAGACAAGAGACTACTCATTCCTCTTCTCTGACAATAATAATTTGACGCTACCAATTAGGACTGCTGCCACTCCTGCACAAGTTGTATCGGTGCCTTTGACAAAGCAGCACGCAGGTAGCGACAATAAGAAGGGATTAAAACAGTTGTCTGTGGCATCATCGAAGCCTCTGACAAACAAGCGAGTGATCGAGAAAATTCCATCACATGTGTCTTTGAAACATCATTGTACTGAGAAAAGAAGGCCCGTAGTCAAAGCAGTTCATTCAACAAAGAAGTTGGCAGGTACCAACAATAGCAAGGGATTACAAAGACCCAATGATGCTGCAGTGAAGCCAAATCAACCAGTGCAATCAATATCGAAGCCAGTTGAGATGACAAACAAGCGAGTACGCGAGAAAATTTCATCGGCCGTCTCTAACTCACAAGATCATCGTCCCAAGAAAAGAAGGCATGTTGTCAAATCACATTGCTCGGATGGTTACGAAGCTGAAAAGGCTCTTCTCATGATCAGAACAATGTTTAACACTAAAAGGTTTGCTGGTCGTGACGATAGTGATATTAAAATGGAGGCAAGCTTTGGAGACATAATGAAGGAAGAGAAAAGAAGTGAAAGGCTTGGGAGGGAAGAAGATCGAGAGCAACTACGCCTATTAGAGGAAGAAGCAAAGCGTCAGCGGCTGAGGACTTAAGCAAAGCGTCAGCGGAAGCCTAATCAAGGAACAAAATTTGGGATATAGGCCTAAGTTAGATGTGGCTAGTTAATTGTTGTTGATGTTGAATTATTTGTACCTATTTTGCATTGCGCTTCTTTGTAACATTTTATTATTATTGTTATTATTATTATTATTATGAGTTGGAATAATAAAGTGCTGCATCTATTGTTGCTAATCTTACTTATTGTGATTGTGAATTCTTTTGTACCAATCTCGATCAATTAAAATAATTTTGAAAAAAAAATGTATAAGATGGTTGGAAGGCAGTTTTCAGAACAGTTTATCTTTAGACAACTAAAACTACTAAATAAATGTGAAAATTGAACACTAATATTAATAAAAACAATATCTATATTACTAATATTAGCAAAAACAATATTTTTATTAATAAAAATAATCATCTCTATCACTACTTTATGCTAAAGTGCAAATTCCTTAGGAGTTCCAGGCTGTCTTAGAAGTTCCAGTTGCAAGGTTGGAATGCAGACAAATATAATAATTAATTACTGAATTAAAAGTTTTTATAAATGATAAAGACTCCAAAACATAAAAACTCGCAATATGAGAACTGGAACTGAGTCTTATTTCGGCCTTCTTTTATGAGTGGGCTTGCCTTATAGACTTGATATCAAGCACATAAATGGCCTTTGATAGCCCATAGTGTGGACTTACGAACTTCATAACCAAAGTCTTATTGGGTTTTGTTTAATATTTGGGCCAAAAGGCCTCAATCGGATTTGGGTGTAAAACTGCTATTGATTTGCTACAGAATTCATTCAAATGTCTTTAGGGTTGCTATGTACAAACTACTGGTTGCTACTGCTGTGTTTTTTGTTTTTTTTTTTTTGCCCCTTACTGCCGTTGCCCTTTGAAACCCATTAGAACAGTTGCTCCATCTACTATTATTGCTTCCCCTGTTACTATTGCTAATATTGTTATGGCCTTTGTCTTGCTTCAACCATCGTGGAGCGGAAGATGCTGGTTTTCTTGAACTAAGATACTAAATTTGATTCTTGTGCTGTAATATGGTCACCAACAAAGCCCCTACTGAGATTCACACTCATACTCATATGATTTTGCCCCTCATGGAAATCATCTCCAGATTACGCCCCACTATCTACCATGTAAATGATGATGATCTAATGGGGTAGTATTCGTTTGTCATGTTATGAAATGAAATCCATTATCCTTTTATGCAAAGAGGGTTGAAAACTAGATAAAGTGGGGTAAAGTCAGCCTACAAGGGTTTTGATATGCTAATAGTTGAAGAACGCCATTTCAGGGATTGATGGAGCTAAAGTCTTGATGAATATTTATACATCCACAAACCCCAGCGGTTGAGATAGACTCAGTTCAAACTTAAATCAAGTATATACACGAAAATAAACCTTTCTTCTCGGAATTAAGTACAACGTCGAAATTAGAAGTAAATTAAGTGTGGCGCTGGCGCCCCCTCCCGGCCTAGGTGCTAACTACCTAAAACGGAGTGATCAGGCGAGGAGCATATCACGTTGACACGTCCAATCCGACTTAAACCCTACTATGTACATGTTGGTATCATAACAATATATTACATATTAAAATATGTATAATACAATTTCCATGACAAGAATATTTACATGAGAAGAAATTACAATTTATTTTATTCACATTACTATCAAAATGTCTATCGATACCTCAACCCAAAATTTATAATTAAAATAAAATCCCTTAAGGTTTGTGTCACCCCCGAGCCTTTTTGGAGGATCCGACGGCGTCCTTATCGGTACTACAGATCATAACTACTTGTCATAACATGCAAATAACAACGAGGTGAGCCAAAGCTCGGTAAGTGCGATAATGCACGTGATATGCAATACTTTTATGACTTTCCACTATGCTCATAAATTTTAATTCCGAGTACCTTGGGTAGTAACGGTCTACTCTATAGGTGATTACCAAATCACCGAATGCTAATAACGGAATTATCCTTCATTGTAGCCACTGCCGACGGGAATCCATCGTCTAACAGTGCGGACACACAACTTAGAGTACGCACACAAGTTGAATCGCTAATCCTTTTTTAATTCAATTAGGTTACCACTCCTATCCATACATACCACTTTTTGACCATTTGATTCTTTCTTAATTCATCCCTACCAATGCACGTGATGCACGTTATGTCATAATTACGGTATTGAACCCGAGTGAGGGTAGCAAATCATATAGGTTTCAAACCAATGCACCCATCCGGGTTCACATATAATTCACATGATTTCAAACATCTTGTCGCAACGTTCACCTAATTAGGTTTAAATGCCAACTAGTGTCATTTGTCAGGGCGTGGGCCTGTTTCATATTTGAGATCTTCCTACCACTTAACGAGGTACTCTTGACTATTATTTCATTCTACGTTCGACTTAGGTGGCATTTAATATCTCGACTTGTTTAAAAACACGTTAGGCATAATGATTCTCCCTTTTTTTTTGGCAAATTCGATGCTTAGGTCAAGATTTGATTTCTTTTCACGACTTTATCTATCTAACTTCATTTTTATCCTAATTTGACCCTAATAAGTCCATAAATTATTTAATTGGCTTGAGAAAACCCAAAGTCTCCCTTTTTCCATGTTTGGGCCAAATGGTCCTAAAATTTGTAAGGAAATTGTTTTGATCCTACAAGGCTTTTTCTTTCTTATTAAAATGGCTAATCAACCTCATTTTCTTACCATTAGCTTAAGGTCCCTAAACACTAAAAGAATTCCTTTTTTTTCTTTCATTCTTGGCCAAACATTTCATAGGTAAAACCCTAGAATTTTCATTTTATTTGCTTCCTTTCTATTGTTTCAAGCCAAGCTTATACCAAACCCAAATTATTTTCCTCAAATTTCAGCCAAACCAAGTCCAATTTATTACATCCATTACCAACTAATTAAGCTACACATAAGACTTAATCAAACTTAAGCAAACAACCATCACAAACAAGCATAATAGTAATCAACCATAAACAACTAATCATCAAAGCAAAAACCAACACCAACACAAACTTAATTTATTACCATAACCAAATAAATGGCATAAATAAATAACCAAAGAACCCACTTACATAGCTTAAGGTGTGATTAGGTTTTCCTTAGCTTTCTTTCTTTTTTTTTTTTTTCCTTCTTCTCTCCCTCTCACAGTTTTCTCTCTTTTTTTCTTAGTGCTCCACGTTTTTTGGTTGAAAGTTTCAACTATTTAACCTTTTCTCTCCCTTATATACTTCCATTTTTCTTCGCCCTTTACAATTGCCTTGAATCATTGGCCAAAGGTGGAAAATACTTGGTGACTAAGGAAGCAAGTGGCTGGTTTGAAGTCAAACGAAAGGTGAGTTGACCTTAATTCATTTATTAGGGTGGCTTAAGTGTCTAAAAAGTACTTAGGCTAACTAAACACCCTCACTAACCAAGTTTAAGTAACTAATCTCATTTCTTTTCATTAAATTTCGAAAATCCCTCTCCCTAAACTTGGAATTTTCTTTCCTAAAATTTTCAGCAATGGTACATTCAAACGGTCCGTACCAAATCGATCATAACTTTATATATATTGATTTAAAAATCACAAAATTTTACGGAGAACTAATAGACACATACATGAAAAACTTTTATTCTTTGAGTTTTACCCAGAAATCATTCTAAGATCCCTAAATAAATCACACAAAGTTTGGAATTTTTCACCCCTAAAATTCAAAAAATTTGCTTTTAAACAATTCGAAAATTTTTCCAAAAATAAGTTCCAATGTTCGTAAAATTTTACAACACATTTCTCGTTAATATAATGCATCCCAAATACTTAGAAATATCCCAAGGATAATTAACTAAATTATCCGTAATTTTTCCTTCCGAAATTCTCCACATAAACGTCAAACATACCGTTATCGTAAAAACTTTTAAAACAATTTATACTATCACTTTTACTTAATATAGGCATGTTTATGAACATTTAAACATGTATATATGTTTATAATTAATAAATTTCATGGGAGTTACATTAAGTGTTCGCCAATTGCCAAAAATAACCGCATGTTTAAGAGATTTCTCTATTATTTTTCGTATTAACATTGTATAGATGACGTTTTTATGATTTTTATTTCCTTATGTTAGTAAATTTAGTCAAAATTTTCATATTTTTTTAGATATATGAAGTATTTTTACTTTGATTTTGAATTTATTTTCTCATATTATTTTAGATATATTATTCCGTAAATAACTCACGACAATAATTTAATACTTAAAACTCCAACATTTTGTTAAAAAAAAAAAAGAGAGAAAAAGGCTTTTTTGGTGCTCAACTTTTCAATTTTTTTTCGCTTTGGTACTCAACTATTGATTTTTCATGGTTGACTATCCAAATTTTGATTTTTTATTTGTTTTAATGCCCGAATTCACCTTAATCTTAAGTTTGCTGACATCTCTAGCGAGACCTATCACATGATAATCAACCCTTCCCATGTGGCGATCATCCATGCCACGTGGTGGTCAACCCTTGTCATGTCAACACCTCCTATTCTCGTGTAATTATGAGCACTCAAATAGAAAAAAATAAAAATAAATCAAAGGTTAGGCATTAAAAAAGAAAAATTAAAGGTTGGGTACCTAAATAGAATATATATATATATATATCAATGGATGGAAATCAAAAATATAGTTTTCTCGAGAAATTTATTTTAGTTTTCTCACATCAAATGTTTATTTCCTTCTTGTACTCTAATATATCTTTTCTTTATTATAAATAGATTTTACACGTTTCGGTGTTTCAATAACACACACACATATATGTATATATATTCTTTCAAAACTTTCTTTTTAATATTAAAAATCATATAATTTTAAATTCTAAAAACATCAACAATTACATGCATTCATATTTTCTTATTATTATGCTAATTGCACAAGTAATTTTAACAATACATTTACTTTTTAGCTTAATTCATATTTTACTTATTAACTCTATTATTTT